GAAGTTATTGCAATGACTTAAGTTATATCTCTTTAATCAAAATTTTATTTTTAGTATCTTTTAAAAAATCAATTATCATATGAAATAGCTTTAGCAATAAATTACTCTCATGAATCTATTCTTAACATTGTCAACAATAAATCTTTGACATTATCTTTTAACTCATATCAAAATTGATTGATAAAGGCTTTGTCATTCTAATCCATGTTGCAAGTAAGATTTTGGAATTTTGTAACATACATGGTGGCTAAATATGATCTTTATTATAAAAATAGGAGTATGGTCTTTGCTATCTTTTTTCAATCACTTTTTCTAAATGTGGTTATAAAAACTTCTAAGAATAAATCATTTTCCATCAAAAATATAAACCAAGAGAGAGCACTCTTAGATAAAAGTTCACCTTTGAATCCAACTTGAGTAAATCCATCAAGATATTAGGAAGGATACAATCTTAGAGAGAACTTTACTTATTATAAAAATCCTTAAAACTTTGAGCTTGTTTCGTCAAACTTCTTTGACATATTTATCCTTGCTTCCCTAATACTTATAGAAACAAGGCTTCTCATATTCAATTGTCAATTTGATCTATTTGTTTCTCTCAATTAGATAATTTTGTGGCCTAGATTTAAAATCTCATTATTGACTTCTTCCATAAGCATAGAAATAATATCTCTATGATTTATATTAGAAATACGTGAGATTTTATTTCTAAGAGAATTAATAAGCTAATGAAGAATTGTAATAGTTGCAAATCTATTCTCACTTTTGCTGAGTGGCATCCATAATTTTTTTTTTCTATATGCAACTCAAATAAACTCACAAGTAAAATTAAAAAAATGTAATCAATAACCTCTAATATCAAATAAAAATTTCTACAAAGAAAGATAGTCTAATTTCTTTTTTTAAAAAAATAATATTTAGAAAATTAAAAGTTAGTTTAAAGGTGGATAATCCGCAAGCTTTAAAATATAACAATAGAAATAAAGAAAATCAATTACTTCTAAAATAAAACAAAAAAAAATAATTTAACACTCTTGTCAAATTGTAAAGAACATGAATTTCAAAGAACTAAAAGGTCAATAAATTCTTGCGTCATTCAAATAAATTAAAAAATCATTCAAAGATAATACAGTATTGAACAAGAATAGTTATTACCAAAGACAAAAAGACTAGAAAGTCTTAAAATAAGACTAAGGACTAGAAAGGCCTTAATAAGAATAAAGAATGTTTTATTCGTACTTCCATATATACTATGTAAATAAGAGCTATATGGCAATATTCTACAAAATCTTCAACACATGTTCAATTTGTAAGACATGTGTTTTAACTTATAAGATAAGTTTTCTATATGTACACCACATCATTAGCTTATACCATAAGCTACCTATATATGTGACACATGGCTAATTTTTTTCCAAGTTTTTAACTTCCCAATCAACTATAAACATGCATAAAGTCAAATATGTGTCTATAAAGCATCTAAGAAATTTTGCCATAAGATAATATTAAATTTACTTATATTTATTTTTTATCTAGCACTTCTTACCTTGATCAATATGTATGTCCATGTCATTATTGTAAGAAACAACATTGATTTCACATTGGTAATAAAATATAATTATTTTATCATAATATCAAAACTATTTATCCTTGTGATAAGTTGGATTATCATAGATTAAGATCATTTTTTATATATAAACAAGTCAATCCAGTTCCTTATTGATTACATCTACCAAAGTCTATAAAGATCCATCCCATATTTCAAGTGTCTTTTCTTAAGCCATATAAGATAGTAAATATCTTAAAAAGAAGACAAATGCCACCATCTTTTACAGAAGTGGATAATAATCAAGAATTCAAAATAAAAGAAGTCTTACAATTGAGGCGGCAATGATTTAGGTTAGAATATCTTATTTATTAGTATGGATAAAATATTAGTAAACATACATAGAAATTAATAAAGAATCTTATAAATGCAACAAAGAAGATCAAAGCTTTTTATTAATAATATCCATCAAAATCAAGATGAAGAGATAAGAAAAATTTTGCTATAAAAGAAGGGATGTTCAATGAAGATTGCATTCCATCCTCTATCTTTCATTGTGATTTCTTTATATTAGTAGTCCTAACAAGATGAAGAATTAACAACTAGCACATTCAACTGAAGAACTATCATTTATTTATTTATTAAATGAGATATTAAATTGTAATAACCTTCAAGATGATATAATAAAAAGAAAGACTTTTAAGAACAATATGTTCTTCTTCAAACATATGGCAAGATACAATGCATTTGGTATCACAATCTTAAAAGAGACTCACAATATTTGGTGATTTTAATGGAAGTAAAAATGATTCTTGATGGTACTATAAATTTTTTGCTTGAAAGAAGTTACAAAGGCTTCAATAATGATCAAATAATAGATTGGACCTTTTACCTTAGAATGGAACATCATTGATGATTAAGAGGACTTATCAACTACCTTCAAAGGGAAGAAAGATCACAGCATGTAGCAAATACAATTTGTCGCATTTTGGACTTCATCAACATGTGATTACCACTCCTTATAGAATTCACTCTTAGAAAGAAGAATAATGTCATCAACATACATATTTATGCTAATAGTTACCTATATAATATGAATAGGTAGAAGTAGATAAAAATAGATTAATTTGATAATATCTTCTAGAAAAGTTTCTTAAAAGATTTGTAGATGCAATTTTATCTTTAAACATGTCTATAGGTGATTAATAGGTTAGAAACTTGGCCAATAAGTTAGCCATGTATTGTACATGTTAATAGCTTGTTGTACAAGCTAATGATGTGGCATATATATAGAAAACTTATCTTGCAAGTTAAGACATATGTGTTGCAAATTAGATATATGTTAATGGTCCTATAGAATGTTGTCATATAGCCCTAAGTTAAATAATATACAAGGATAAGAATAAAGCCTTCTTTACTCTTATCAATTCTTTTCTTACTTCTAGTCTAATTTCAAGGATCTCTAGTTTTCTTGACTTTTGGCAATAGCTACTTTGGTTTCTTTTGAATATGCATATATTTTTATTTCCATTTTTTCATCTTTCTTTAAGAAAAGTTTCACTTGTTTCTTTACCTTTATTGAGTTTTTGTCCTCAATACCTTGACACTTTCATGAGATTGTTCTTTAATTCGAGCAAGTTTAGATAACATAGTTATTTTTTAGAAAGGCACATAAAGCATAAAAATCCCTATGACCTATTTTATTTATGGTGCTATTTGCATCAAGGAAAGCGACATCACAAAATATAAGTATATGTAGAAATAATAAGGCACAAAGTTCTCACCAAGCAAGAAGTAGAAAGAAGTAATTGTTGGTGAGAATAAGAAGTGAGATTTTGTATACTTGGCTATAATCATGTCGAGGATGAGAATCGGAATCAACTCATAATAAAATCAATATCAATTATATTACATATTTACAACTTGAATATGATTGTGGATGTTGAAACATTATATATGAATCATTGAACCTTGATGCAATGTTTTTGGAACACTTTCCCTTTAAATCAACAATAGAAGACAATAGTGATCCATCACTATTTATACAATTGATTGTATGTGACTAAACTGGTTCTATCATGGCTACTTTATTTAATTACTAATAATTTGTTATGTTTTTTTTAATATTGGCCAAAAGTAATTGTGCTTTTTATTTTTTTAATATAAATAGAAAATAACTTTACAAATTCTTAGCTTTTATCATCTTAAATGAAGATTGTATCACAATATAGAATTGTAAAACTAAGACGTGTCAATAATATCTATAACAATATGATTTTAGAATTATTTTTATTATCTAACATTAATATTAAAAGAAGTATGTTTGGAGTGATGAACCAATACCAACATTAACAACCCAAGATGTTGTTATAAAGAACAAACATTAATATTATAAAGAAAAAAAAAATTAATGAAGAAACAACATAATTTAACAAAGTGAGAATTAAAAAAAATCTTTTTTTAAATATATATATATTATAATTAATTTAAAATTTCAGTTTTATTAATTTTGATTGTTTACAAATAATATGAATTGCAGCCAACACTACAATTAATACTTTATTTGAGAAGATTTTCTTTTACAAGAAAATTAAACAATAAAATATTTAGTATTTATTCAATATATATAATTATTTAGATTCATCTTCATAAACAATAACATGTATTTGTAGGTCATGTTTTACAAGAAATTAATAGAAGATCCATAATTCATTGGACTTCTTCTAATAACATTAAATAAACTAACCTAATTATTTTGTAAGATCAAATTTTGTTTTTAAAATTCGTATCAAATATGATTATTCCACAAACTTTAGATAAATAAAGTTTAGAAAGTTTGTCATTGCATTTGAATTGGATAAAAATTATGTAGTTTATATATATATGATTTTGATTTAGATATTATTTAATAACTACATATAAGTGACACAAATCCTAAAAAATTATTTAAATACTCTTACTTTCCATACATGTTAATGATAGTATATTTGAAGAAGAATTCTCATATTATAAAAACTTAGAAAAGTAGCCTTTGACACCATCAACTCCCTAATATATTTATATGCTACATCATAATTTACAAAAGAAAACATGTTTTAATTATGACTAGCAAACAAACTATATTCATTAGACAAAATAAATTGGCACTTGAATAAAGTGGTTAGTAGCAACAAGTTTTTTGAGTCTTTCTTGTTATATTTAGTATATATATATTCCAACTATTAAAACTCACCAAATAATTATTTTGAGAGACTGATACAAGAACTAGCTTTAAGAACATGACATAACTTGTCAAAGTATGAAAACTTGAATTTCGAAAATCTGAATTAGAGAGTTTTAATTTCTATTTCAAAAATTCTAGAAACTTAATCTATTAGTCACTTCCCCCAATCAAAATGTGCTAGTTTTAAAAGGTTAAAATATGGTTCTCCATGCATGCAAAGGTCTTTTTAAATCAGTGGAAATATGTCAAAATCATTAGAACTTTCTCAAAAAAACACAATGCATTCATGGAATATCCCTTGGATCGCTGAACGCTACTAATCTGATTTACATCTGCCTGTACTATTTATGGGTCTGAATACAAGCAGGCCCACAGAAGCTTACCAAACCATCAAGAACTCTGAAACTCGCTCTCTGATTACCTCCGTATCTCACATCCAGCGCTTGGACCATGTTCTCTGCAGTTGAGAATGTGTCCAGAAGACTCATAGCCATGACCTCGGGAACCCATAAACATCACAAGGACTCTAGATATGGAGCATAGAGGATCGACAAGCCGAAGCATCGCTTTTCATAAATCACAACCGTCTCCGACTTCGCACTTCATCACGCCTGTCATCAATACCTCTGTCGAGGGTAAATTGCCGAGCATGCCCAGGAGATGGCCAGGTATCCCTACTACCTCTAGAGCTTGGTTCAGCTACTTGCTTCACATACTTCTCCTTAGATGATTCCTCCTCCAAAACTCCAGAGCGTGGACTACCTGCGAGGAGGACAGATAGAGTAAGGCTGGTGAAATGGAGACTCACTGACCACTATTTTCAACTACTGATGCAGTAAGGTACAGTACCTGGAGAGAGCTGTGAATTCGATTCCAGGTCTGATTCCGAAGCCGTAGCAAAACCCACTATCTCTTTCGTAGCAGCCTCCTTCTTCACAACTTTCTTCGATTTTCTGTCTTTGTTGATTATCTCCAATCTTCGAAAGAACTCATACTCCTCACGTACAGCATCATCCAAAAAGCTGGTCTGTTGTTCCACTTGATCGTCATTCCAACCCTCCTTCAGTTCAGAGGCCCTCTCTGAAATACAGACCTCAGAGTCAGTCCGTTCATCCATGTACGTATCTCCCCCATAATAGACATCTGCTTCGATCCTATCATCTCTTTCTAAGGTGGCAAGAGCTGTTTGTGCCTTCTTGACAAGAGAGCCAGCGGCGTGCTTAGATTTCTCTACGATCCGCTGAACCAACATCCTTCCAAGTATCTCTTCTGTCTCCAACAACAAATTGTCCTCGCTAAAGACATTATCGTCATACTCGAAGTTTGTTGCGTCCTGATGGTCAATAGTTTCTGATGCTCGGGATTGGCATTCCCAATCAGCCCCTGGTGCAGGACCGGGAGTCTGTCCTTCCATTAGACCTTCCCATCGAGCTATCTTCTCTTGCACTGTGGGGGTTAGTTCCCCTGGCCACTGCACAGATGGGTTTTGAGGCGCCTTGAGCAGTTTTGTCCCCTTTTCAACAGGGGTAGTCAATCCTGCCCGGCCAACCCCAACCCAGAAAGAAGGATTGGCACCAGCTGAAACCTTGGGCTCAGAAGCTGGTCTCGTCGTCGAATTTTTGTACTTGACAGAAAAAGAAGCCTCACAAGGTTTGTAGTCTGCAGTCTCTACCCCTGACATGTCAGAAACAGATTTCAATGACTCCGATAGTTCAGAGTATCTTTTAGTAGTTGAGCCGTGCTCTGCTAGTGAGGTGAAACCTCCGTTATCTTGACTCCTAATGAGCACTGGTTGCCCAAAGTCAGAATTATATGAGGCGCGCCTGCTTGGATAGGGTACTAAAAGCTTAGATCGAGGAAATAAGCGACCTTCAAAAGTGGCTGATTCTAAAGGATGTTCCCAGGTATCTGCCATTGAGACACAACTGGAGAAAGGACCAACACTTGGGGTGACACTACACAATTCAACACTCTCTCCACAAGCGCCATGAGAATCCAATTCATGAACCGAATCAATAAGTTGTGTAATAATCTGAGAGTTTTCTAATATTGGTCTGCAGTCCCTATAAATCACTTCACCCTGGAATGGCCTGTCATCCTCAAATTCAATCATTGATTGCAAAAACTCATTGGATACATCATCATCTTCTACTGCCAATCCATTGCCCTGGGAATTCCTTCTCATGTCTTGAGGTTCCTGCGCAAAAATTCTCGAACGGATTATATTAAATCTGTATTCGTTCTGGAATCTCCTGAAAATGCGTAGATTTAAGCCATAGCATGTTCTCACCACTTTAGACAGATCATTCTAGTGATAAAAGACAGAAAGCTGGGAGCTCATTCTAGTTATGAATTAACCAAATCATAAAAGTATATGCAAATAATAACTTTCAACTAATAAGTCTGAGACGTCTCATTCAAACCTGACAAGCTTCGAGTCAAAGCTATAAGTGCCAAGAAACTCTACAAAATTGGAAAAGGAAAAGCAACGTAGGTTTGGGAGACACCACTGCATCGAAAAACTCCTTGTCCAATGTGAAAGGCAATTCAGCACAGGCAACATTTGTATTCACCTGGTTTGCAGGCTCACGATGCAAGCCTGTTTTCGGTTCTCCTCGCAATACAGGTTCAAGGTGAGAGCCTGACTCTACTGGATGATTTTCTACCTCATAGCCGTTTGTCTGTAGTGAGGAATGAATGGATACTTCATCACCTTTCACACCAACCGATATGTCTGTAGTTGCTTCTATGATGATTGAGCTTTTGTCAACCGGGACAAAGCTCATAGTAGATCTATCTGGAGTCGCACATTCATCAACTGCAATCAACAACCATCAGATACAGACTGTACGAGATTTTGAAGGACCTTAGATACCGCCTTCACATAACTGGAATACAAGGAAGTGGTCACTAAGGGTAATGCTGATCGTTCTACTTTCAATGCTAATTATGATGAATTTTAAGATGGCTAAAAGAAAACAGATTCATATAAGCAGTTTTTGGAACAAAATAAACGCTGACTATAATAATCAAGTATTAGGGCTGTTGGCGCACCTGAACCAGAACCAGAACCAAATGAAACTTCAGTGAAGCGCCTCACTCTATCTTTCCACATCTCAAGCTCCTTCTCCCTGTTTTGTAATTTTGATTGAGTTGCTTCAAGTTCCCCTTCTAATTCTGTGATTAATTCTTCTTGACGAGCTCTCTGTATGGTATTAATTACCCCAACCATCAGAATAAAGTACAATGGATACTTTAATGTAAAATAACGTCCCAAGGTCATGAGCAGTCACCAGCATAAACAAAATGACATCGTAAATTGAACAAAAATTAAGTAATGCAGACTCATGCAGCTACACCATAAAACATTAAACCAACCTGCAGTTTGCGCAGTAAACGCGTAAGTTCTCGTGGTGAAACTGCGTAATTATTCAAGCATGCAGGCTGTGCCAGAGCTGAAAGATCATCATCTGAATCTTCTTCAACTCCAGCAGGTAGGCCTGTTGGTTCCAGATCACCATAGACTACCGATGCAACACCATCCATATCCAACTGCAGCAATCACAAGCAAAAGAGTTACCGAATCATCAACGCATCTGCCACCATGTCGAATGGCTTTGCAGTTGCTTCTTGTATCCACTTCTTATAACCTAGAGGTGGGTGTCACTAATAATAAACAGGAGCCTAGCTAGCACATCATACAAGATAAACAAGAGTAAAAGCAGTTATACCTCATCCAAAACAGAATATTGACTCTCCATCGCTGCGGACTCCCTCCCCGTGAGTTGATCAAGTTCAGCCTCCAACTCTGCTTCAAGCTCAGCCATCTGATGTTGCTGCTGTGTTTCATACTGGCTCCTCCCCACTGCCTCTGAATCATTTGTGCGTGCAGGACTTTCCCTTGTGCCAGGTTCCAACTTCAGAGCCTCCAAGTTTGCTTGCGTCTCGTCCAGAAGCTGGTTCAACCTTTTCACTTCCATTTGATGTGGACCAGCACCAAACAACACCCCAAGAGCCACTCCAAAACTAAAAAGCAGGGTCTCAAAAGTAGTCGCTGTGGAACCTGAAATACAAGGCGGGACATAACTGTCAAAAAGATATGCCCATTTTATGGCCAGTTTAACAGTAACCACGCACAATAAGTATGGTGATAAAATTAACCACTTTTTTGTCAAGGCATCAGCCAAACTCCCTCGTACCATATGACTAATCGTACAAAAGAACGATACAAAGTTCGATAACGAATTTCTTTAAAAAATTCTTGATGACAGCCAAAAAAGCATCGCATAGAATTCTTTTCGGAATGTGCTCATGAGATACCTTCTGCACTCGATCTATCAAGGCCCTGCTCAGTACCATTTGAAAGGAAGCGCCTAGAATCAGATACTTTTCGTTTCTTTAACAGAACTGGCAGAAGAATCTTCTTACTATTGTCATCGCATGGACTGCTTGAAACCAGGTAATTTGCTGGGACTACTGTAGGGTTTGTGTCAACATCGCCGTCACTCTCGCCCTTGCTAGTCATTGCTAACTTTACAGCATACTCCTTCAAAAAAATTGAGAGATTTGTCAGGTTTGGTAAACCAGTTGAAGCTGAAGATAGCCCAGATTTGGAACTACTTTCATCAACCATGTTGGCGTTACTTGAAGGCAATGCTGCACTGCAACCAATCACGCTCACATCATTAGGATTCCCTTTCTCAGCTGAAGATGAAAACTTCAGTGGTCGGATGACTGACTTGGCTCGGTTTCTATCAAGTGGGTCAGCTATCTGGGCCCTGAGGCAACTCTCCAAAGATGTCACTGGCTTCGGAGAAGCTCTAAGACCGCGCACTCTGCGAGCCAATGATGTACCTTTGCTTATCTTACTAAGAGATCTTCTAATGTAAGCACCGCTCATCTGATCTCCTTGGGTAGGGACCTTCCCAAAGAAATCAGCAGCATCAAATCCCAAAAAAGGATCGGATTCACCCACTAATCCCCATGCAAAAGCATCCGGCTGTATGTCTGAGAGAGCCTCCTCTCCTCCCACTCTGTCCTTGATCCTCTTTCCAGAAGAAGAGTTCCAAGCCATGTCCACGGTATCTGTAAATTCAGCCTTCAGTGTATCTTGCTGCCGTTTCCCAGAATTGTTGAAAGGTAGATTCACTTTATCCTTAACAGTCATGCCCTCTTCACCCTCGCAGCCAAAAGATCCTCTACCAGAAGTTTCTTTATCGCTTTCCTTATCTTTAGAGAAGTTGTTTCTTTTTAGTCGTTTCCAAGTTCTAGATTTCACGGAGTACTGGACCTGAATTGCGCAGTCATATGCCTCCGTCAAGATAATGTCTGAGTATGCTCCATTTAAGGACAACACAGTGCCAAAACTATAAGTCAGAGTGCATGTACCCTTGTCATCCTTCCGAATTGTGGAATAATTGGCTTGCAAAGAGGAGCAGCCCTCACAAGCATCCGAGTCAGTTTCGGTACATGACAATTCAGAGTTCAATTTCAGAACACCGGTAGAACTCAATGACTCAACACTCGAAGAGTTGTCGACAGATTTAGTAGCTGAGAGCACTTCACTTTGCTTAGCGTCACAGTTGGCTGAACCAAGCACATCTTCTTGGGATGTTGCATTAGTGCCTTCGATGGCTTCGACCCGGAAGTTTTTAGGATTCTCGCCTAGAGGAGATGCATCAACAACCGAGTCTAATTGAATCAGAACATTTTTCGAAATAACGCCAGCTCCAGCAACCCCCTCAGCTTCACCCAAATATTCAGCAAAACAAGGGGCAGACTGGGATGACAATCGACTGCGCCTTCTACCTCTTGAACAGATAGGACTGGCTTTAAGGCTGTCTACTTTGACCTGCCTTTGGTTTTCTCTCGCTACAGAGTCGTCCTCTTCACCTTTCTCTTCTTCGTATATTATCTCTTCTCTTGAACTTCGGAGAGAATTAATGCAACTCCGTGTAATATATTGCTTAGAAAATCCATATAAACCTGTTTTGTCTCTTCCATGTAAATTCTCTAGTTCGACAAGTCTTCTATACTCTTCAATTTGGTCAATGTCATCTGCATCCTCGTGCAGAGGCTTCCCTTCGACGGAACCCCCATAATCGTTACCAAGCTTTCTGTTGAATACTTTGATAGGAAGAGATCTACTCCGATAAACTTTCGTAGAAGGCGATCCTCTGGGAGGTGTTGAACCACATGGCTCCTGCTTTGAGTGTTCAAGTTACACAGTGAGCTCAACAACAAAACATGGCTACCGGGAGACATTAAAACATTACTGAAGTTAGAAGCAAAATACAATTCTGAATCTTCAACCACACCTTTCACTTTTGCCAACGAAATGCTTCGAAAAAGAAAACTCTGTTGTGATACAATATGGAACTTCTAGAATACACATGACTATGCGCAAAAGTATGCTTTTCACCAACACTATTATACTCGGCGACAGGCCCTCAATAGCCAGCATGTTTTCAACGGAACACTGTTTAACTCAAATGGTAGTTCAAAACAATATAATATAAGGCCGAACCAGTCTCAATTCTTAAGAAATATTGCAAAAGAATCTAGACATCAAAGTAATATGTACAACATTCACCTCTCTCTTGCTGTTCTTGCCTCCCATTCATCCCGGATAAGGCAATTTTGGTGTAATTATCCTGCAAATTTTCTGCTTGTATACAACGTTCAGAAATCATTCTCAATCCCATTTTCAACGATCAAATGATGCTTCGGAAAACCAAAAAAAATAAATTATGCATTGGTTGATATATCTCAAGCAGACCTAGCAAGAAGAAAATTATTTCACTATCAGAGATTTTCATAAGCAAGTGCAGATATGCTACAGTTGACTACTGTAAAAAGGTCCTGATTGAAACCAAGAAATACAAACAAATAGTGTTCGCAGTTGACACGCCCTTAAGCCTCTTTCTCGCTGTGGAACCGGGGCTCAAACTTCGCTGACCCTAAATAATACAACAGGCTCGAGAGGCTGGATACTACAAGTACATTGGACTCCCTGTATGAGTAATGGAATACTACTCGAAAATTAAGCCCTGCTTCAGATATAGAACCGTCAACGCTCAGCTTTCATTCACGTGGTGTGCGCACAGGGTTCCGCCTAAAGATCAGAATGCCCCGAAGAGCAGTGACTTATCTCAGAAGGTGCTCGGAACCACAAGTGTCCGAAAACGAAAGAAATGTGCACACCTGAACGGTATTACCCCCCCCCCCCCCAAAGTATTTCGATCAACTACCATCTAATATCAAATTGACATACGACAAATTCAGGACCTAGTCAAGACCTAAAATGTGTCTTTCTGTAAGTCTCTGCATAACAGGAATAGGAACTGCACAACTGACCAAATCCAGCAGCCCGTGAAATTCTAGATGCAGCTACTGATTCACCTTATCCCAAATCCACGAGAAAGATGAAACTGAAAGACTCCAAGTTAGCAGATATAAATAAATAAATAAATAAATAAATAAAAAGCGACATAATTTTAGACAGTCTTTCCCTCTTCGCCACTTTCGCAACCTGATTCAGTTCCACAATCTTCAAGCATTGGAGCCGCTCGTATTCATTAATATTTCCAATTCTCAGTCGGTAAGGCGCTAGAGGTATCGTTAAAAAATTGCAAGATAACGTAACATCCCGCTGACTGCATCTGCATAAAACTTTCTTGCAAATCGTATTCAGTGGGAAACTTAATCACTCACAACACGGCAAAGACTGGTGAAATCTTCGACGGCAAGAAACAAGGGAGCCCAGACGACACCCAATCCTTCCAAATCTTCCTGTTTAAACTACCCTGTCTCGAAATCCAGCTCCCGCTCCAACTCAACTAAGCAACCTATTTACCACTCAAGCGCTCGTGCACTTAAAAGCTCCCTCGGTTAAATTTCTTTTGTTCTTTTTTTAATCTTTCTCACCAAGCATTCCGCATCCTCAATCCTCCTTCAAATCTCACAACCATAGCCAAATCGCGCCAAAACCGCGCCCCCAACCACGACTCCCGAGAACAAGATAAACAAAAAATACAAACTCCGGATCTTAATACCACCCCCGCCAGCCCGCCAATCTCTTACCAACCCACGATCTTCGCCGAATGCAGCTCACATAGACCTTAAAAGACACGTTAATGAACACTCACGGTCAATGAACAATCAATCAATCCAGTTACCAAGAAATACTCGACTATTCAAATTGTGTGAGTGACCAAAATTCTCTAGCGCTCGCTTGTTCGCTCGATCGCTCACTCGCACACAGCAGCAGAATCGCCAGAAGCTCACCTCGTGGGAGAGGAGGAGGTAAGAGCACGAGGCAACGGGCGAGAGAAGCGGGAGAAGCGCCATAGCCATAGCCCGGTTCAGCTCAGATTGCGCGTGACATAGGCAGGTCAGTTGAATCCATTTTGTCGAAGTAAATTGAGCACGCCATTGCAGCAGGACTCCATAGCTGACCTCGGGCCAGAGCCAAATCGCAGAGAAACAAATACAGCGTGGCATCCACGGTTCATGTCGTGAGAGAGCATTGCACAGTTACGACAACGGGCAAGGCTATGGCTATGGCTACGACTACGACTACGAAGCCTAATCTTAAGCCTCCTCGCCACAATGCCGCAACCCCACCTTCGTTCGTTCATCCTCCGCCTCTTCGTCCTTATTTCATCCATATTCCGCCTACTCGTTTATCCTCGCAAATACCGTCCGTCCTCTCCCTTTCGTTCGTCGCTTCCGACGAATCGATCGTCAGCTTTGTCGTCGCGTTGTGGGTGCAAGCCTGTCACAATCACAGTGCAAAAAAGACTTTCATGACTTTTTATAATTAGTATTGTGTATAATTAGTATCGAATTTGAACTTTAAGATAGCGTAGTATATAATTAAATTGTATGACCCAAATGTCAGGTAAAATTGCAGCATTTGTCAATAATTATTTTTAATTTGGGTTACATACTTGTTGTGATGGTAAATATCAAGAAGTGCATACATTTATATTTGGAAGAGAAAAAATTGATTCATGTGTGGTACATTGAATGTCAAAGATGTGAATAATTTTCTTTATAGAAGTAATATATTCTCTCATTAATTTCGATAATTAATGCAGATTTTTTTAAATTTAAATAATCAAATGTAAACATGATAGCTTATAAGTATTGTGTTTTGAATCAATAGACTCAATGAAATATGCCTCAATTCAAATTCCTAATGTAAAAGATAGTTTTCATAAAACTTTTGGAAAAAGCTGTATGTGTATAAATATAAAAACAAATGTAGTTATATAAGTATTTGTTCTATTATTATTATTTTTTGTTTTCAACTAGTTAGCACTTTTTGAATCTGTAGTTCTTAAAGAGGTGATTTTAAGATTTTAAAATTTTCTGTATGGATTAAATTGAAGTCAAAAAAATACTTTTATTTATTATATCAAAATAAAAATAACTCAAGATTTTTTCCATACAATCTCCTTTTTCAAAAATCTTATTGCTTGAATTAAAAAAACACAAAGAAAGTAATATCTAAGGATCATTTGTGGCCATATTTGCAACAATTGTAGTACAAGTATTATTTCATTGTGAAACATGCATTTCAAGAATTAAGATGTATTACTGTAAATAATACTTTTATTTCTATTTAATTTTGTGCTTTGATGCCATCAAATTTATTTTTAATCTTTGAAATTTATGTCTCTAAAATTAATTAACTGTAAAAAAAAAATTAAAAGAATTGGATTATATTTCATCACAATATATGAAATAAAATTTATATAAATAAATAAAATTGCATTGAATTCACAATTTTAAACTATACTTTAGAAAGCAAAAATCGTTTTGCACAACATAAGTGAGATCAAATTTTTAGTTTCAGTTTTATTTTATATTTTTTCAAATTGTTGTTTGATGCATGTTTCAAACTTAAAATAATTTCGTACTCGAAAAATTTATATCTTTTTGACTATTTTTTTTATGAATTTAATATAAAATAAAATTTATTTGACATTAAAGATAAGTATATTTTAATATTAATTAAATGTTCAATCATTGAATGGACCCATGGAACCATCATTTGCAACAGCATTTTAAAGATGATCATTGATAACGAATGGAAAAATAATGCCCTTCAATACATCCAATGTATTCCATCCCCAAACTTAATATCAACGTTATAAATAAATAAATAAACTGAGGAAGAAAGAATATATATATATATTCTCAGTTCTACATTAAATATTTGCTTCAAGGAAACCAACTATGTCTATAACCTAGTTGTCTTCTCCAATACATACAAGTTTTCTTCCCCTAGGATACATCATCAAAAAAGATCATATTCTCTCACTTTCTATTGGCAAATTATTGGCCCTTTTGCATAGACACATGGAAGTATTTTTTTACTTTATTTACTTTTTAAAAATATTTTTAAACATTGTGGGTGGCAACAAGTGGAAAGATGTTGGATTTTTTTAGATGCTTTGCCACAAAAGTGATGAGAAGGGGGCCTCTCTTGTACAGTGCTACATGCAAAAGTTTTGAAAAGTTTTGAAAAGTTTTGTTCATTTTTATGAGTTGTGGATGTCCTTTTTGGATTCCACACATGGGGTACTAAAGATACACACACATGTATATATATATATATATATATATACAATTATGCTTTTGAGATATGCATTACAATTTAAAAAACTTGTGTGTATACAAATAACTCAAATATGTACTTTGTAATCTTTCTCGTTTTATGTCATACAGGGAATTCAATGAGCAACAATATGTGTATATGCGAGGGATTATGTTGTAATTCATTTCTATTCATTTGGGTTGGGGTCTATTGACAAATTTGGCACATATTTATGTGTGTGATTGTGTAAGTGTAATGTTTTTAGATCAGTTTTGGAGTGCCATAATTCAATTTTAGATAGCAACTTTATAAACCTTTCAAGGAATTCATTGTGAAATAATAATCAAATTAAATATGTTAAGTTGCATTCTTGGTGTATTTGGGTTAGTTCATTAAATTACTGGTTTTCATTACAGCACTTACAATCACACTTTTGACAAGTTATTTGATATTCACCAATATATATATATATAAATATATGTTAAGAAATGCTTAAATATTCTTTTACAACTATCATTATCGAATTTTGATTGCGTTATTGATTGTATCCTAAATTTGAATTTTTAATTCTGATTTGTTCATAAATGATTTAAGCTTCATGTTCACGAGATTTTTTGATTTTTTTGATTGTAACCTGAGTTATTGCTATAATGAATAAATATCAAAATTAAAAATAGTAAAATCAAACAGATTTCAATTATTAAAATATCAAATCAAACCAAGCTCAACAAATTGAAGCCTTTCAAAACAATGAATGAATAGTCCTATCTAGTCTAGAAACAAACCAAATTTGCATGCATTTGAAATTTAAAGGAATTAAGAACATTATTTGTTTGAGTGTGTATAAAAACATGTAGTATTATATTTATATATTAGAAACAATGTCCAAAAGCATCAAAATCCTTTATGACCAATTCAATGTAATTTTATTAAAATTACATTTGCACAAGTTTTTGGTAATGCTTAAACACAAATGTATGTATGTGTAGGTGTGTATGTATGTATGTATGTATGTATGTATTTTTAACATCCTTTTTTCATCATATATATACATATAGTTAATTAGTATTGATTTTCTTTATTTTTTTATTTTCACAGATTTATATATATATATATATATATATATATGTATTTAAATTGATTACATTTCTGATTAATTCCAATGTTTGCTTTGCACCTGAAAGAAACTCAATCATATTTGTTAACAATTATGTCCAAAATTGTAAACAACTTTGATTTTCAAATCTAATAAACATAAAAAAATACTATTTGGTTAAAAAATAAAAAAAATAAAAAATACTATGTGTATGTATGTATGTATGTATGTATATATGTATGTATGTATATATGTATGTATTCGGTTTCTACCTTCAAATTAAGAAAAATATTAAATGAAATTCAATAAATAAGTTTGATTTTTTTTATATTTGAAATTTGCATCCAAATCTTAGAAAGAACAAAGATATTTTTATTTAACTTGTTGCAGATGCTTTTAGTAAAAATAATTATATGAAATTATTTTTCTAAAAATAGAAAATGCAAAATTTTATTTATTTAAGTTTGAAAAGAGATGAACTTTTTTAAAAATCCTACTCATTAATACTAATAATTTTTCTCTTAAAGTGATCATAAATCAATTGCAAGCCCACTATTATGGCTATTAAATCACTTTGTTACCAAATAATTTTGAGCATTAATCTAATGTTATTTTGGTGTTACATTCTACAAAATGTATTTTCAATGTTAGTGTAAAAAGAAATTTTAGGCAACAATTTGCTTAAAAGTAGCTAATATTATTTTAGAATTTATATAAGTCAATCATGAGATTAATATATTGAAGTGTAGATGTATTTGATGTTTTAAATTTTTCAAAAGTATTTGCTTCAAAAAAGATTATAATTATGCTTCATTAAATTTAATCAAAAATTAATGCATGCAAATCCTTCACATACTTTCACTTTCTCATTTCCTCAACCATCATGATTGTAATGAAATGTTGTTTAGATACAATTTGTTCCAAAAGTATAAAACATATAACAATATGTCAAACATTTATTGAAAAATGATAAATAGGTCTACATGGATTCTTCCCATCCAAAGGGCTTTCAACATGGTGTACAATTCTTATAGCAACTCCATTCACACTTCCTATGTCTCTTGGGTGGGTTCCCCACCAATGAGCCCATTGAGTAACAAAGTTTGGAATTGAGAATTAAATCATCATTATTATTGTTATTATTTCTTTAAAAGAAAAAAATGAAAAAATGGAAAAAAAAAAAAATGAACTACAAGATTGACTCTTTTGTAGATAATTTTTTGTAGATATTGTAATAATATTCTTTGCATTATTACAAACAATAAATATTTAATTATGTAGTACATGCTTGGAGTGTAGATGTTAGTATGTGCAATCTATCATAGAGGACAATTTAGACATAAGATAAAGACATAAAGAAGCATTCTCATTGGCTAAACATGAATGAGCAATAGAAGGGTTGGATGGCAGTGCAAGAGATCGCAGTTTCTGCCATTGAGTAAATAAAAAAGTAATTATCAAATCAGGGAAATGCAATATTGTCAAATCTTAATTTAGTAAATTTAAAGTATAGTTTTGTTAATGTGTTAACAAGTTAGCATGGACTAAAGCATCCTGAATAAATAAATAAATGCATGTAAATATGTACTCAAATATTCTGTCTGTGTCTGTGGTTTTGACCTACAACACAAAACAAAGAGTAAAAGGGAGGCATGCACAGAGGAATGCTTCAAGTGAATGGAAATAAGATGCACTCGAAACAAATCACAATGGATTCTTGTAACAAGTCATGGATACTAATTTTTTTCAATAGTGGAAAGCGGGGGTATTTTCATAATCACAGACTAAATTTTACGTTTCACTCTCGATATAAAACTTGTGAGGATGAAAATCAGTATGACACTAACAATCTGTTATGTATATTCAATAGACAAAGCTTCAGGAATTGAATCAAGGTGATTGCAAAAACTTAGGTTTGTAGATAATTATGAAAAAATGACAATATGTGAGATTTCTGAATATTCAAAAATAAAAATTTAAAGAAAAGACCGACGGAGGAAAATTATGAGTCTGTAACCAATTCAGTCTTCAGAATGTATGCTCTGGCCAAGTAAGACACTCATAGGCAAGCAGAATCAAAATTTTCCCAATTCGCTGAAACTGAGTATGTCAGAGGAGAGCACTTAACCTGGTAGGATTTCTAAAAAACTGGGTGCCATGCAATAAATCAGAATTCGTTATTTTTACTCTGTAAAGTAGTCATTCTTGAAGCCCACCTGCTAGGTGCCACTTCATAAATATTTACAAGCAGAATTAATTTCTCAACTAGACACATCCCTCAGGTTGCTGCATCTTGGCAATCTGTATCCTAACAGCTACGAATGCATGCACCCTATCAGACTTGACATGGCCTATCCACTAGTCTATGCGCAAGGACTAGAGTCTGTTTTCATACAAACTGCTTGCCCAGCAGTCTACTACCCTGGGAAAGAATCTCACTCATCACCACCAAAACCGCCAGGACATAGAACTGCCGAGTAAGCAACCTGCGTGAATAAAGATCTATGCACTATATGCCGTAGTGATAAAACCATTATGGGTTAGAGATACTGTAGAGGTCTAATGCCTTGACAACACGTATCAATGCCTTCTTGCACGTCTCATGTATGAAGTAGTTCATAAAATAGCAGGTCTGATAAGCCCGTTATGAAAATCTTAACCTACAATTTCCTAAATAAATGAGAACTAATTAAACCGAATTCACCTTCACTGAGGAGGTTACCTGAGGCCGAAGTGTTATGACTCCAGGCTAGAGGCACTACCATTCGGACCTCGACAGATCATGGTATGCCATGCAGCAGTACTTTTGTTGGAATAACCAGCAAAAAGAAAGACCGAGACATCGATGTCCAGCAGAGCTTACAGGCTTAAAATACAATTAAGGAACTTGCCAAAACCCGTCATTTCATTGGGATTGCCGAGGAATTCAATGTCAATCTTTACTAAGCACCTACATCAGGGTTGAGTTCCCAGAACCAGATTTCTGTATGGCAGACAGTTAAGAGAAACAAAAAAAAAAAAAAAAAAAAAAAAATCCGATAGAATTAAAGACGGAGACAAAGCGAGGAAACCTACGATACTACTATATACGGAAGTCATGGGGCGGGGCGAGTTCTGAATTCCCACAGCAGACAACTGAGTCCAGAAAACATTCTGCTTGCCCAAGATATGTGCTTCTGAAATCCTGCTGTAGCATTGAACTGCAACAAAGTGCAGCAGCCTCAGAAAATGCTCCATCAAGGCATGGTAAAAAGAATCTACTGCTCTTTCCAGATACGACCTGTCACCCTAAGTTTAAGTTCTTTACGATCACCACCTGAGAAAAAAAGAGCCATATTCCTTTGAATAATGAGACCATCATGACTGTCGCGAACTTTTCGGTGACTGTCACGAATACTACGAGGTACACCTTGCCAAACCAACTTTCGTCCGTTCGCTCCAACCTCCAAGCTGTAGCTGAAATTCTTCGCTTCATTGTCGTCCCCCATAAACCGCAAGAAAGCCATGTAGACAGGGGCCATCCCAAGCTGAAAAGCCTCGAAATGAAGACAGAAATGCTGACCAAAGCAATTGAATACCTGCATCATACACGACCTCAAATGAGTATTATTGTACGGAATTCTCATACGTTTAAATTTACTCAGGAACTCCACTTCCTGTCAACCCCAGTTGCAAGATGAAAAAAAATTCAAGGATCACTCACTCGAAAGAAGATGAAGATAATCGTATTTCACATCAAGTTTCAACATCCGATGTAAACATCTGGTTCGGGACGTCGGGATTGCAAATTGATTCCCATGAATACTTCTCAATTCAAAAGTAAAAACTCAAACATCCAGTTTGCAAGAGCTTACCGTCAGCATCCAAGTAGCGTTCTCGACCTCTTGTGGATTAGACTTCACATAGCGATGATTAAAGGTGAATCCATTATGCATATCAACTTTGTGTTCATCTCTTAAATGAGCCACAAGCCATTCAATGTCCCCAGTTACTGAGCACTCTGATCCGGCATATGGACAATTGTAGGGCCGGTATGTGCACTGAGCCTCGTGCTTGAGTTTACTGTAATAAGGGAATATGTCTGGACACCCCAGACTTTGGTACCTACATGGCAATTCGAGAGATTCTGCCACTTTTTCAAGAGCCAGACAGCGGATATTGCCGAGCTCGTACCTGCAAGTTGGGCAGCGATTGTGTACCCTTTGTTTGCAGTTGGAACACAATGTATGTCCGTTTGGGCACTGCAAGTATAAAAATTCAAAGAGGTAATGAAGGTCAATGCAGGCTTAGGTTTATCGACAAATCACAAGATGAACAGAAACCAACTAACATGACCTCGTCGAAATCTTAACAGCCGATGGCACGTTGACCACGCCCGTCCCACTATGAGGATTTCAAAGACAGTAATGGCTGCGAAACCTACACTAGACCGCTGACAGGCACTGACGGAAACAGTAAAAGTGAGGCTTGATTTCGATAAGACGTAATATGGGAGATGCCCATGCACAGAAGATACATTACAAGCAACGAGATTTCGAAACAATTGCAAGCTGCATTGCAAACAGTAGTCATCTGCACATGTATCCTAGCGTATTCGGTACGCCAATGTGATGACTTCGAATTACACACCAGTACACGAGTCTTTATCTGACACTAGACCAAACATGGAACTCAAACTCATAGCTTACCATATACAGTTCATTTCTCAGAGCTACATCCTGGTGGGTTCCGCACAACATTTACCCATATTCTCCTCTTCAGTTGAGATGACAAACCTGATGAATAGGTGGATACATAGAATTGGTGCACACGGGACACTCCAGAAGTTCATGGACACTACTAGATGGTGTACCAGCTGGTTTCCGGGCCACAGGCAAAGTGCTTTTCGAAACAACTCCCGACTCCGTCTCTGACTCAGTGCTCGAAGGGGTGTCACCCTCTCGAATTGGTGATTCTGGAATTTCCATCTTCGCATTGGATGGAGCCATACTGGTTCTAACTATGCACAAGATGTAAAATTCGCTCAGGGATACTTCCGGAGATTTCTAAATAGCGTGTCCTTGTTCCTTAATTTCCGGATACTACGGCGTCTGTGCTACTGTGAAGAATGCCGGGATCAACGAACAACTTAGCTAGATCAAGGATAAAAAAATACACGTTGGCATCAACTCGTCTAAACCTACAAACGACCTCTTTAGAACGGAATGACTTCTACCTAGTCCATTTGAATTGGTTGTCAATTCTATTAATAGAAACGTCAACATTGTGTGACATTTCTCCTCGTCACACGAATTCCAAAAAACTAAGGATGGTTCTTGTGATCGCGTACACAGAGATTCTGCCCAAGTAGACGACCTGCCACGGAATACAGTCGCAGCAACTTCCCGAATCAAAGCTGCCGACTACAGCCATCCTGAACTTTCATCAGGCATTCGGGTGACATACCGAAGATTATCCTCAAGTCCAGAAATCGTACTTCCCAAGGGGTATCCTATAATTCACGACCCTCTGGAAGGGCTACAATTCCCTGCCAAACGTACACGACGCGGACTGAGCAAAACGTGAATTCGGAAACTTTCCGGCTCTTCCGAACTTTGTAAAACACTGTAATCTGAGCAATTCCCAACCAATCTCGGACATGTACCAGAAGCGAATCCAGACTACGGACTTAGGGTTCAGTATCAACACGCTGTCTGAATTAAGTCCAGTTGCTTTCGCCCGCCTCGAATCGATCCAATCTATCTGCACCATCAATCTCCCACTAGCACACGAACGACGACAAAGCCGGACATTCCACCGCTAATCCACTTGGTCCATGTCCTACTACTTCGGATCCAACTCGTAACACCAACTGCCGCCAACCAACCATCAAACCACACCAGCTCAACGAAATCCCCCTGCAGCCTTCTGCGGGACGTTTCCTCCTCACTGAATCACACTTCACGACTCGTCCTGCACCAAAGGCTCGTCGTCCAACCCTAAGCCCTCGATCAAACGCTTCCAACACCTTCACATCCCAGAATCGAGCTCCAACAGCCATAAACCGCGGCACACATCCTCCCTGCACGCTCAAAAGAACCTCCCTCGCCGTCTCATGACCCCGTGATGGCAACCAAGTGCCTTTTCCGAACCCTAACTGGATCATCCAACACCAGAGCACAGAGCACTCTCTCAGCTTCACCACGCTTCACACAGCGACCTAAGCCACAAGAATCGCCAATGTCTACATGCGCGATGGCAGCACTAACTCAACTGCGGCGGCGAAGGAGAGCGCGCAAGTAGAATATTGGATTCGAGGAGTTTAACAGCCTTAGCCGGCTCCTCCCTAGAATTCAATGGCACGGGGGTGCGGGGGGGCTATGGCTAGCGACGACTTCGCGACTGCGAAAGCAAGGTGAGCTAGTCTAGCTGGGCGTTGGAGGATGGGGTTGACGCGACCAGAGGAAGCGTCAGGTCGCGGCGGCGATAAGCGGAATTCCGAGAACAGCACAATGCCGTACTCGCCCACCGAAACAGCGGGTGACCTCGGCGGATCTTCCTTTATTAACGAACGACTACCTCTTCCGCGCGGCTGCGTCTGCGGCTGCGTAGTCTGGCCCCCTTCTGTTCCCAGTATCGTTTTAATGAGAGTGCCCCCCCCCCCCCTCCCCCCGGACACTTACTGCTCGCATCTGGAATCAATGGAATCGAGTTTTAGTTTAATGAAAAATGTAAAAGGCCTGGTGCCAAAAAGGAAAAGCCTGCAAAAATGGGGGTAGAAGTGGCTTCAACGGCATGGGAAGAGTGTGAATTGCAAGGAGTGCAGTGATGGCGGCGGCACCTGTGTGGAGGCTCCATCCCGGTGTCTTCACCTCCAATATGGCAAACGCTCCTTTTTCCCCTAGTTTTGTTGCTGCCCCTTTTTCTTCCTCATTGTATGCCGCCCAATCCAACTTAGTTTCAGGACAAACCCATGTGATTTGTTTCCCTGATCGGCATGGGCACCAAATATTTGTCCAGTCGATTTAGTCGAAGCCACTCTCGATGTGGGTAGGTACAAAATTGGTTTCCTTTCCTTCCATTCGTGTGTGCATATATGGATTTTTAGTCAGTTTGAAAAAATTTAATGGCCAACTGGGTTTATATTTTTAATTTTTTAGTTAGAGAGTGGAAGGGAGGGATTATTTTGAAGAAAAAACCTTATCTCTTCCCGTCTCCTTGCCTCCTGAGTTCTACAGGAAGTTACTGAAGTCATTTGGTTCATCATTCATTTTGATGTTATCAGATGACAATTTCCCCCGTTTTTTTGTTTCTGTTTTTAGTTTTTATTCCTGTTGGTCTCCCCAAAAAAGCTTTATTCAACGCAGTATAAGTCGTAAACCAACAGGTTCCAAACTCGTGTCTGTTAAGATTCAGAATGATATGCACAGAACTTACCAGGCTAAAAAAACAAAACATGGTTGAAGTTATAATCTTAAAGGTCGAGCTCCAAAATCACTTAGAAGTATGTGTAATCTCAAACTCCAATCAGCTTCATGGCACACTTGTAATAGGCTCCGTGTTGCTGAACTTGCTGCAATTCCAGAATGCCATCCAATGCACGATACTTGCAAACTATTAGAGGAGGATATCCGTCATACGAACGCCAAATTTCTAGATATCTCGAGAAAGATTGCAATCGGATGTTCGAAACGCCCGTACTAAAGTAGAGGTCCATTTTTATTTGAGTTGGATCTTTCTAGGAAGAAAAGGTAGCTAATGTAACGTCTTTACACGCGTCAAGTAACAATATACAGGTCATAAAGCAGCCAAGCTTCACAAAATGATACAACGTGGATGATTGCACAGAATTTAGGTGAACTTCAAGTCTTACAAAGACTTGTTCACGCGAACTTAGCTTCGCTCTGCATGCAATTACCTCCAAGCACTTCAACTTCCCATTGAAGTTCCCTACACCAAATTTTCACATGTAGGACGATGTGCTCCTCATTAGAAGACTAGAAGCAAAAAGAAACGTCGATGCAATATTTTCCGCATTAAGTGAAATCTCAACAGTTTCACAAAATGAACTCAATACGTTTCCAAAAAACTTGAACATGCTCACTGTTGATCAGATGCGCGCCTCATTTTCAGAGTCATCGTCGATTTGTTCATCTACCATGTTCTAACTCATGCATGTTGGATGCACAGGAAGAAACAAGAGATAGCAAAAAAATAGTTAAAACTTGATTCCAGCATCCACCATGAGTGGAATTTCCAAATCACGTATACAAACCGTTAAGTACCAAGCGCAACACATACAAGCCTGCTCGAGCTACTAGTTTCTATCTGTGAAAATAGAGCCAGGAGAGCAACTCTGCCATGTTCACTGTGACTTAGACTGCCATCAAGTCACCGAAATTGCGCATCAACATCACCGACCCTGCGAACATACCCACGGCTCGCAGTAGTCTCTGCGTCGAACAAAAACGTTCATTTCAGATCAAACCCTTAATCTAGATACCAGAAACGAAAAATATTGATTTGATGAATGTACAAAATAATTGACCAAGACAAGTGCGACTATCACACTAATGCTCTCCACAAAGCAGGGAAATCCTCAATGCAAAACCACAGCAATAAAAACATGTTTGTGAGGAAAACAAGCTTCTAAATGTACCTAGCCGCGTATCAAGAAGCAGACAATTCCAACTCTCCGGCGTACATGAAAGACATATTAATCCGTTAACGAATGCACGAGAGAAATTAGAAGCGGCTCTAAACCATAATACGATAATGTAGCAACGTTGAGAATTAGAAAACCAGTACCAAGTGTGAGGCGAGCTTCTCCTCATCCCTGGTTTCAGCAGCCCACCGATTCTTCAACTTCTGCAATGTACTTTGCGCCATCTTGACTGACCTTTGGACGAACTGCTAAACACTTTGCTCTGGGCTAAGCCTCTTCAATCGCAACGTAAATTTACGATAAAGACAAAGAAACACTAACAAAGCTTGACAATCAAGCCCTAGAACCCTAGAACCCTCAAACCCTAACTCCAGGTCTTATGCGTGGCCTGATGCCGTCGGTTAAAAGGATATACCCGGTAACAGAGGGTGATTGAATCTCCAGCTCTTGCCTTCTGGGATGAAAAGGGAGCCTTCAACCGTGATCTGCAAATTTACACTAAAGCTGAAGCAGGGGAAATCTCGAATATATTACAGTGGGTGGTCCGAAAACGTGCACTTCTTCGTTGAAGCCGCTTCCGAAATCATTCCTTTCGTTGTCGAAGCTCAAGAAAAGTTCGAACATCAATTTGTGCAACTAGGTCTAGGACCATTGGTCTGCGTTGTTAAAATTTTAGCAGTGGCTAGTGGAGGAAGTATTGTAATGGATGAAGGTCGGATTTAGCCGGAAGAGAGTTGGGATAGGTTGGTAACGTGATTGCACGTAGATTTGAAAAGTGTGTTTTTGATTTATTGTAGTTGGTGGGTTTGATCGGAACGGTGGGGTAGAGGTGGAGGGTCTGGTGTAGTAAGATGGCGACATCGCTGCAGTCTTCTGCATCACCGGAGTCACAGGCTTTGAACACAATTGCTCCACAGTCTCCGGGATCTGTTTATCCACATCGCCATGTCCGCTGCATTGTGAAGCTCGGTGAGTTTCTGTTTCTCCAGTTAACAATGCCGAGGGTTAGAATTTGGATTCCGGCTGGTTCGAAACCTTTCTGGTGTATTGTGTCGGTGTGATCAGTTCAGGAGATTAGAATACTTCCTGTAAAATACGCGAAATAGTTGTAATATGAAAGATCTTTGAGTGGCATCATGCGAGTTGATGGAATTGTAAGGGATATTTGCCTTTGTAAAGTAGAGAATCAGAGTATGAAGGAATCAGAGGTGGAAGAGAAGTGTGAATCGACGGAAGTGAAAACATGCAAATTTGCGAAATTAGGCATGGCAGCAGGCTGAAATTGAAGAATTTTTACGTGATACTTTTGCGCAGCGATCAACATGATAATTAATTTGTTGATCTACTCCTAGCACATTTTGAATATGCTGTTCTCATGTAGTGGTTAGATTACACTGATAAGAATTCTTCTATCAGGTGGGGCAGCTATCACTCGGAAAGGGGAGCTGGAAACGATTGATGATGCTGTGCTAGCGTCTACGACATTGCATTTAAGAGAAGCAATGGGACTATCTGATGCAAGCTTGTCACTGGATTGGAGTAGAAGAAATGGTGTGTTAATTACGGATCTCATACCGAACAGCACTGGTCAACACTTGGACTTCCCAAATGCGTTTGTCGTAGTTCATGGGGCAGGTTGGTGAGTTCCTCTCTTGAGGTTTTATGTTTTACCTCGATCCTTCCTATTTGCAGAGAGTTCCCAGTTGGATTTGCTCGGTACTTCATGGCGATGTCGTCTTTAGATCGTTATATCGCTTCCATTTCTTTTGATCAATATTCTGATTTGACCAAAATTGGTATCCATTCTTCTAGGTTTGTTTTTGACTAATTTGACACTTGCGGGGGACATTATTCTCCTGCTTCGCTTGATTGACTTGTTTTCGAATGGTTGGGGCAGGTTCGTATGGCCATTTCCAAGCTAGTAAATCGGGAGTGAACAAAGGCGACCTGAAGAACCCCTTGGTCAAGGCTGGCTTCGTTGCCACTCGCATCTCTGTACGTTTTTATTCCACAGTTTCTTGAACAGTTTTGGATTCTTTGATATGCTTTCATTTCTATAAGTCTGTATCTGGAGCACATTTTTACCCAAAGCCTTTCGGCTGTGTAGGTTACCAAGCTGAATCAGGAGGTTGTCCGGTGCTTGGCTTCAGGTTAAATCTCGCTATCCATACACTTTCATAGGATGATCTTAAAAGAATAAAATTGCAAGCAACTCCGAATCTTATATATCTAATACACATGTGATTCAGAGGGCATCCCTGCTGTGGGAGTATCCCCATTTTCTGCTGGGTGGTCCACCCATAACAAAATGGTAAGTTTACTCTGACAGTAATTGATCACAAGTTACTATCCCCTATGAGTTGATTGAGCTAACCTAATGACTTAACAGGACTCGATTAAAGCTTTTGCACTAGAAGTGGGACCCTATGGCACTATGGCTGGTTAGACTATGTTTCTAACGATTGTTTGTGCTGCTTGCCTACAGCTGGAACGTGACAACGTATTGGAAATTCAGCGAGCAGTCGATGCAGGCTTTGTACCTGTACATTTTTCACTCAAAACTTGTACCCACCCAGCGTTGTACCAATCTTCCTATTATTTTTCATTACTTTTTATTATAACACAGGCATGTTGAAAATTTCTTCCGAGGGATGCAAATGCAACGAATGTTGGGGTAATATCTAACAACCTGAGTTTCTGAGTACCTGCAAAACATAAACCATTTATTTGCACTGGCGTGCAGGTACTCCATGGAGATGCAGTGCTGGATAGTACTTTGGTGAGGATTTATTTTTAAAAAAAAAATTATGCTTAAATTTAAAATGCATCTATTATCAAATGTTGATTCTTATCATCAAATATGGCCTGTTTGTTTGTCCTGCAGGGATGTACAATTCTCAGTGGAGATATTGTCGTGAGACGACTTGCTGAAGTTGTTAAGCCCAGCTTTGTTGTATTTTTAGTATCCCGCTGGTCTTAAAACAATTGTTTGATTTCTATTTGTTGTTTCTGTACCTTAGATAGGACAATAAGCAGGTTATCGTGAATCTTTTTGGGGCGAATCCTTTATCAGAATTTGCAGACTAATGTGCCTGGCGTGTTTGATCGCCCCCCTGAAGAACCGAATGCGACGCTTCTAAGAGAAATTGGTGGGTTTTTGATTTTGGCCCTCTATGTTTTGGAGCACTGCTCTTTGCACAGTTTTCTTATCTCCAATTGGATAAATGGAGCTCCTTGGTTTGCAATTGTCTGTGTTTATGCTTTATTCTTTAATCCCGGTAATTCTTTTGCTTTCAAGATTCTAATCTTCAGCAGTGGGTATTCTGTCAGATGTGCATATCTGCGTGATTTCTGTGCCTAAGCTCTTTGAAAATAGCTCGTCACTTTTTCGGGGGCTACATACACCTGTAATATATTGATATTTTGTTGTCTCGCATTTTTGACAGTGGTGTTTGAAGACTCTAGTTGGACGATTGTTGATCCCCCTCTTGGGGCAGAAGGCAAGGGAGGAGGTGTGATTCCTGGGACTTTTTGAAGCGTCTAAAACTAGTGCAATCGGAATGTTAATACATAGAAGTCCTCTTTTTCGTCCACATAAAGGGTATACTAGAGGAACTCGTAGTTTTCCGTGCCGCAGACCTTATAGCAACATTTGCTAAAACCAGCTGTAGTTCATGTAAGCTCACATACTTGGTAATGTATTGGGTTAGTAGATTGCACTAATAAGATGCCGGTATATTGTACAATTTGACATGGATATAGTGGAGACAGCTGTGGCAGCTCACGACACAACTGGGGGCATGTCCACTAAAATTGCGGAGGCTGCTTCAATCGCTGCCACGGGCATTGACGTCTTTGTTGTGGAGGTAATTAGCATCAATTTCTCTTTTTGCTGTGTAATGTCAAGCAATGACAACCTATAATTCGCTTTCCTCCTTTTGAGAACTAATAATCTATAGTCCTCAAACATGTCATTTATGTGCACTTCACCCACAAAGTATTGATAATATATTTTGTTTTCCGGATGATGCTTGCAGGCAGGAACTCCCCATGCTCTAGAAGTTTTGAGAGGAAACGTTAAAAAGCTGAACACAAAATCTTGGAAGGGTACACTGATCAGAAGCGCCCTTGGTCGAAGTTCCTGATTGCAATAGCTCAGAAAAGCATTGCAATGTCCCTAGTGGACTACTAAATACTAGATGCAAGGGATGATTTCTAACATTTGTGCAATTTACATACTATTAAATCTTTACGTTGATCTCATATCTATGAACGTATGAACGTATCTGTAGAATGCGTGCTTTACGACAGAATTTACATAATAAAAAGTTTTTGGTGGTTATTGTGATTCCTGCAATTGTGGTTCATAAGAAGGGTCCAGTGTTTGACCTTGTGGGCAACAGTTACACGTTCCAACCAACTGGGCCAAAGAGTAGTAGGAGGGCGCGGTTAGGGGGTGGCAGAGTAGGTGGAAATTTGTCAAACTCAACAAGAGAGTGCTATGGTAGTATTTGTTTGTATTTTCTATATAATTGTGGGAATTATGTGAGTTTTGTATTGGTGACTCAGAAGGATCATGCTACATAATTGTCTTTCTAAGAATAGAGGAGGTAGCCCGAGTGTGATTCTGTTATTAGTGCATGGCATGTGACCAGAATGAGGATGGAAGTCCAAGGAGGTTTGTGTTGTCTTTATGTCATCTCCAATAGCTACTTCTTCTGCAATGGCTCTTTTGTGAATTATTTATTGATTGATAATTTTTGCAATCAAATCAACATGGGACTGTGTAGGTGAGGAAAGTGTTCCCAACTTGATACGTGAGTGAGCAGTTGTATTGTTGTTGGTGAGGTTCAAAACTCTTGCAAATGTTTGTCGCTCAATTGAATACATTTTGGTAGAAAAAGTATGGACCTAAGTTGGGATCCTTGGATGATCTTTGCTTAGTATTTTTTTATTTGAAAGGGTTGGATGGATGTGGAGGTTACAAAGCCCTAATCTTGTCAATCCATTAAAATTAATTTTTCATGGAAAGTCTTGAAGTGATTGAAAAACAAAGTACGTTAGCTAGTTTTTGTAAAAGTTAAGGATTTCACATGTAGGTGAAGTATATTATAAGTCAAGTAAGTGAAAATTTATGGCATATTGAGGGTTTTGTCTTCTTAACAAAATATGTCTAGTATTTTGGTAGGATTTAATTGCTATTATGTTAGAAATACATTAAGTTTGGAAGGTAAATTATAAAGGCTTTTTATGGTTTCGGACCAAGTTAGATTGCCTACATTATCATTTTGGAGAAGAAAATAAAAACTTAGATAAGAGGATTGAGAAACTTAGTATATTCTTCAATCATGGAAGAAATTCAATTGTCCATTTTTTGTAATATATACATGTAAGATGGATTTTCTAATGAAACTATAAATTTTAGCTTAAGTCTTTTTGATAGCTATAAATAGATCATTTATTAGCCAACTACCTATCACATTCTTATAAATATAAAAGATTAACTAAGATTTGGCTTGTAAGCAATACATTTTTTTTTTTTTTTTTTTTTTTTTAGATGCAATTTGAAGTTTTTATTTATGCTTGTCTAATATTATTATTAAAATTTAAATTAAATAAAAAGCCATGATGTATAATGGCTCTTTTATAAATAAACTACTTTAAAATATATCATGTGATATGTCATTGGATACTAAATCTTTTCAAATGTATGTAGTTTAGTTTGCTTAGTGGTTTTTTTTATCTATTGATAGTTTTCCATTACTTGACTTAGTGTCAATTAGAGTTTGGATACTAAGGTGGAAAAAAAACTTTGACTTGACATTCTTATCAAGTCAACCCTTGTGAGTGATTTTTGAAAGAGAGAGAACTTATTGTAAGGTTTTGCTTGGCTATGGTGATTTAGCCATTTTAGTAAAACTTAGGGTTTTCTCTATTTCCACACTTGCACTCTTGGATTCCCTCTTTGTGGTGTGAGAGATAGCTTGATTTAGTTTGGTGTAGATTTCTAATCTTTTCTTGAGAGTGTATTGGTTGTGTATTTGTATTTGGTTCAGATTACATACATTGTGACTAGTTTGTAGCACTCAATGTGTTGTGTTTAACAATCTTTTTTTACATGACAAACATCTTTTTTTATGGCACTATTATCATAGTTGATAAAGTATCTATATTATATACAATTTTGACCAGCTGATCAATATTTTAAAGCAATAGAAAGTTGTAGCTATGCTTGTTAATATATGTATTCTGTAATAAAAAAATATCAATCCTCATGGATTTAAATATAGATTAAATAATTTCTTTATCAATTTTTACACATTGTAATTATCAATAGTTTTTGATGTGAATTCAAATTTCAAGATTAAAGTTGAAGTTTAAAAATTTGTAAAAACTATTGCATGTATCCATAATTTTAGATTACTTGGGTGATATATATATATATATATATATATATATATATACTAAAATAAATATAAATTATCCTGAAGATTAATATTTCTACAATATTCATTGTAGTTTATTTATTTTATTTTATTTTCTACCTTTTTTTTTTTTTTTTTTTTTTTTTAATAATTCAATGTTTTTCAAATTACTTCTTGTTATAATAAATCATTTGTGATTTGAACAAGTGACATATTATAATTCAATGTGTATACAATCAAAGACTTTGCATCTTTTATATCTTTGATATTTTTTATGGTTATTATAAAAAAGATGTAAAAAATAGACATTTATTTATGAAATAAAGTGATTTTGGTGATATGTTTATAACAATAGTAAAATAAAATAAAAAACCAGTTCTTATCTGAAGATAAAAATATCTATATTTATAAAAACTATGCATGGTTTATTATTATTGTGTGTGTGTATATATATATATATATATATATGTTATGTTATTTCTTAATTAAGTAAGAAAGTGGTATTAATATCCAAATTTCAAAGAATTTAAAATGAATAAATAAACACCTAATTTCTTTATTTGTAGATAGTAAAATATTGAAAAATAGTAAAATGAAATATCCTTTAATTTATCATATTTATAGTGTTTATCAAGATATTAAAAGAAAATTGCAGCCAAATATTTCTAAAAATAGTAATTCAAAATGTCTAAAAAAAGATACCATGTACAAAAATTATTGAGTATAAAAAATAAATGAGAATGTTTTATTTTAAATGAACCTGTTCATTTGAGTTTAACACACTAATCGTGCAAAAAATCTTAGAATAGTCTTTTGTGGAAATTTCATTAATTTTTGTAGCATCTAGAATTTATCTTAGCATATTGTTGTTTTATTCAAATTTTATTTGGGACAAGTATGTTAAAACATTGTTTGTATTCGTTTTTTTCTTATTTCTTGTTCAATTGTAATTTGTGAAATTTTCTCTTATGAAATATATACCTGAAATATATAACACATTCAAACTCATAGCATTAATGTTTGATAGAACCGAAATTCTTTACAAAACCTGATGTTTTTATTTTATAAGTTCTAAATTTTTTGAAAAATAAAACATTTTCTTCTTAATGAAATTAAATCTTAGAAAATAATAATATAAAAGCCAACCATGTCAATGTACAAACAAATTTTATACAAACCTTGAAAATAAGTCATACATATAATTCAACTATTATTAGTATTAAAATTTCATATAAAATGTAAATCTGAAAATGCATCTAATATAAAAATTAAAAAAAAGAAAAATAAATAAAACTAGTGAAATTCAACAAACACATGAACCAAATTTCTACAAAGTCAATATCATTTTGACTACACTAAACACATAAACATGCACAGGTTCATAAAACATCTATGCACAATATAACCAAAAGAGTTGTAGAAACATAGTACACATATACAATTATAAAATGAAATGTTCAGAATGAGTTACAGTTCAATTTTATTCCTTAAAATTACAATCCTCCAAAAACACCTTTACACCACCAATAAAAATATTATCAAAAATCTAGCAAGCATAATTTCTTGCCATATTGCAATAAAATTATTATTATCATTATTATATATTTTTTACCATTTTATCATACCATTGTTGTGTTTTAGTTTGCTTAGCTAGAGCTCACTTCAAGTTTCATGTCCATCACAAGGGAGTATGAACGAACGAACGAACCAACCAACCAACCAACGAACCAGCGAAGCCACGGACGATGAATGAACTTCGCGAACATCGAAGGGAAGACCCTTTTCACACAAGTGCCGAAGACAGGGATGGATACGCCATGATTATCATCCAATTGGATGATAACATCCAAAGGGAAGCGGGGCCGGCATCGAGGACGCGAGAAGACGCTGCAAATTTTACTGGGAGACGACTGCAATGGTGGTGTGTGATTTCATCGAGGCTGGCAAATTTATTCGCAGCCTTCGATCGATCTCCGCTGAAGGAGAAACCGAGGCAACGACTGACTTGCTCTCTCTGAGCTTCTCCGCCCCGCGCCAATTCAAGCATTCTCAGTGGCGTTCGATGCGGTAGCCTCCTCACAAGCGCACGAAGAACAGATTGTTGTCTCACTTAGCTCGCGTCGATTTTGTTGAAGGAAAAGGGTGAATCGTTTGTGGGAGTGTGCATGTGCGCGCTTGGATTGATCCAGAGAGCTGCGCGACATGGAGGCAACGCTGTCCTGCGAGAATTTGACTCACACTGTGGGGTGCGTCGGCAAGGCTAGACTGGGAAGCGTTCGAGGAGGTTGTAAGAAGGCGGCGTTTGGTGCTTACAATGTTTCATGGAAAGCAAGAATCTCTGTGACGAGGGATCTTGGTGTTGGGTCCGTTTCGAGCAGAGGAGTTGTTGGGAAGGTCGCGAATGGGGAGCTGAGGGTGCGAGCCGCGAGTGGCAATGGCGTTGCGCCGAAAGAGTTTGATTATGATGTGGTGATCATTGGTGCTGGAGTTGGAGGGCATGGCGCCGCTCTCCATGCTGTCGAGAAGGTAGGACGGCTGGATCCATATTTTGCTCCGTTTGTGAGTACGTCGTGTTGAGCGACGTCCTTCGTGGTTTCTGCTCAACCGGGCGTTGGATGTATCGTGGGTTTGATGCGTGGATTGGTGGCATTGGCAACGCAGGGGTTGAAGACGGCGATCATCGAGGGGGACGTTGTTGGCGGTACTTGTGTCAACCGAGGGTGTGTGCCTTCGAAAGCTCTCTTGGCTGTGAGTGGGCGTATGCGGGAGCTTCAAGATGAGCACCACCTCAAAGCCCTTGGAATCCAGGTTTCCCCGCGTACCTTTATTTTATTTTGTTTTTATTTTTGGTTTTATTCAAATTTAAATTTATGGTAAAGACCGGTATTCGAAGAATAGGAAGAAGTTCAGCCCTAATATATCTTTGCGTTTTCGTCAGGTGGGGGCAGCTAATTACGATCGGCAGTCAGTTGCTGACCACGCAAACAACCTGGCCACCAAAATTCGAGGAAATCTTACCAACTCCATGAAGGCACTTGGTGTTGACATTCTGACTGGTTTTGGTTCTGTCGCGGTATGCAATCTTTGACCCCAGCACTAGACGAGGTGGATGCAGAGGTTTTTGAAACCTAAGACATCTGAAATAGTTCATGAACCATAAGTGATGACCTTGTCTTAAACCCTGCACTTAAAACCCTAGCCTACTGTGGACTATAGGGAGTGACGGGAGTTAAAACTAGGCAATTGATTGACGTTTCTTCTACACTTTGCTTACAGGCTCCTCAAATTGTGAAGTACGGAAGAATTGGATTTTCTGACAAAACTATTACAGCGCGCAACATTATCATAGCAACTGGTTCCGTGCCTTTTGTTCCTCCAGGCATTGAAGTCGATGGTAAGAAGTCATGGTCGTTGGTGGATTAAAATGCTTTTAAAGTTTATGCTGGTCGATTGTAAAAATGATTATCTCTTGATCAAACTGCGTGTATCCAGGAAAGACGGTGTTCACCAGCGATCATGCGCTGAAGCTGGAGTGGATCCCAGACTGGATTGCCATTGTTGGAAGTGGTTACATTGGTCTTGAGTTCAGCGATGTCTATACTGCCCTTGGAAGTGAGGTAAAATTTCCTTGCGCATTATTGACAATAAAATAAAAGTGGATGTGTGGAGTGCGTGTGTAATTATCTGACAATAATTGGAGCTGACTTCCCTTTTCTGTGGGCTTGCAGGTCACGTTTGTCGAGGCGCTTGATGGGTTGATGCCTGGTTTTGATCCTGAGATTGGCAAGCTTGCACAGAGGATCTTGATCAATCCTCGTAAAATTGATTATCACGTCGGAGTTTTAGCTAAAAAGGTGACTCCCATGTTTTACACTGGACTAACTATCTTGACCCTAGGGGCTCCGGTCTGTGTAGCGCTTTATTCCGCCTCTGAAGATCTAGAATGTTGATGGAACCAAATTTAAGATCTTACAATCGTCCACCATTTGTGTCAAAATGTTCAGCATGTATCAATTCTGACTATGATTTCGCTTGCGGTTTGCTGCTGTGCTGTGCAGATTACTCCAGCGAAAGATGGAAAGCCAGTTCAAATCGAACTCGTTGACCCAAAAACCAAGGAGACAAAAGACATTTTGGAGGTATGAACAACCTACTGACAATCTATGGACAACTGTGTGCAGTTTTCTTGCATATTTTATCTATTTATAATCTTGGTTGATCTGTTACCAACTGCAAATGTTTATTCTCCCATCAAGTACCGAGTGCCTAATCCTCCTTTGCAATGCAGGTGGATGCAGCCCTTATTGCTACAGGACGTTCTCCATTCACGAAAGGATTGGGTCTCGAAAAGGTAACGTGCGCGTTGACGTTCCAAGTTTCTAAATTGTTGGATGGTTTTGCTGGTGCGCGCGATGGAACAACTGAAACCATATTCAGGCGTTATCAACAATTTTTCATGCTTCGTCTTGTTCACTAACCTTGGATAATTTCTTGGTGGCTTGCAGATCAATGTAATTACACAGAGAGGGTTTGTACCGGTGGATGAGCGGATGCAAGTACTTGACTCTGAAGGCAAGCCTGTAAGCGATCTTCGTCTCTTTATGATTCACCACTTATGTAACCTTAGTTATATGGTATTTTTCGTGACAATCTGGTTTGCGTGAGAGTAAACGACGTAATTTGGGCACCGTGTTTAGAATATTAACTCAAATGGCTCTTGGTGACGGTGTTCTAGGTACCGCATTTGTACTGCATCGGTGATGCAAATGGCAAGATGATGCTTGCTCATGCAGCAAGCGCCCAAGGCATTTCTGGTGAATCATTCTACTGTGTTCCTCGAATTGAAGCATTTACATTAGATCCTTGCCATTGTTGGTTATTGAGTGTCGTACTCGGCACTGTTCCTTATGTCGATAAATTTGCGTTACCTTTTCATGAACAGTGATTGAGCAGATCGCTGGGCGGGACAACATTTTGAACCATAATAGCGTACCAGCGGCTTGTTTCACGCACCCTGAGATCAGCATGGTCGGCTTGACTGAGGTATAGCAATCCTTTTGTTTCACAATTTACTTTTTAATAACTTGATTTGAACCTCTTTGTAATGTAGCTCTTGTGACTGGAAAGCTTCACAGCCTAATCCATTTTTCAGGTGAAAGTTAATTTCTTTTTATTCTCTGGCAGCCACAAGCAAGAGCACTGGGAGAGAAAGAGGGTTTCAAAGTTAGTGTTGCCAAGACTAGCTTCAAAGCCAACACTAAGGCTCTCGCTGAGAATGAAGGCGATGGGCTGGCTAAGGTACCGGCTGGTGTTACAACTTTTGGCTTGCTCTATATTTTGGCTTGCACCTACCTCCCCGACTTAAAAATGTGAATTCGTTCTTTTTTGGTTTTTTTAGATCAAGTCTGGACTCTTCACTAGAATTGCCAGCCAATAGGGTCTGCATTAGTTTCAATATTGCATTAATATGGTCTTACTCACACTTCCATTTTCTTCATATTCCTGCTCCAATTTTTTTTTTATATATATATATTAATGCATTTTATCAATGATTTTCAACCAGTTGATCTATCGACCTGACTCTGGCGAGATTCTGGGTGTTCACATTCTTGGCCTCCACGCCGCCGACCTCATCCACGAAGCCTCCAACGCTATTGCTATGGGCAACACCATCAAAGTGAGTGCCAAGTTTCATTTTACTAGAATTGTCTGCCGAACCTTGACGTCTAATGGATGTGATGATGTAGTTGTCAAGTCTCGCTATCGAATGCTGCGATTTCTTCTAACAACCCATTGCTCTGTCTTTGACAGGACATCAAATTTGCTGTGCATGCCCATCCGACCTTGTCTGAAGTGTTGGACGAGCTCTTCAAGTCAGCGAAGGTATGGGTTTTGACCTCGAAGTGTCACTTCAGTATTGTAAACTTTTTCACTTCAGTGGAATTCAAACCTGTTCTACACATGCCTCTTCCTCATTAGACCATTTCTTTTGTTTATTTCGTTGTATATATATATTCTTTCTAAAGTTTCTTTGTTACATCGACGGTTTGCAGCTTGACGAGCATCATGCGGCAGTGGAAACCCCGAATCAAGTAAAATCAGTGGCTGCTTGATGGCTCAGCCTGAGCATCTCAGTCGAAGGAAGGTTCTGTCTCTTTAGTTGTTATATTTATATATGTCATGCAGCGTCAGAAATGGCATACGATTGCTAGTGTCAGATTGTAGGAGGTTAGCCTTGGTATCAATATCCATTGACGAGCTCATTAGTTCGTCAAAGCTCAAACAATGTGGAACAGGTAGGAGTTAAAAGCATTTACTTATTCGAAATATTTTTTGGAATGGAGCTTGTCGTGTACTCTCAATTCTCTCTGGGGTCCTACTACTATCCCTGAGGATCCTCTGCAATATTGTCTGAAAAGTTGTGTTGCGGGTGTGATATATGGATAGGAAGCAAAAGATTCTAAAAAATTAAGAATCTTTTTATTAATGTATCACATGGATTTATCTAGATATTTTTAAGGCTTGTTTTGTTTTGTGGTATCAGATGCCTTTGTTTTTTGTAGTACGCCTAAGCAGAAGCTTCCGTAGACATGTTCTTTAAAGGAGGATTTTCAATTGTAAAGTTTTCTAGCAAAATCCCAAAGAACATCTTATACTACACAAAAAATTCATGAAATATCTTTGATAGTGAAGGTCAATGTTACCTTAGTTTCATCAACACATCTTTTCTGGTGTATTGAACATTTCTCAAAACGCCTGTATGTTCCAGCACATTCATTTGAATGCCTTTTATTCTTATAATAATATGTTTGCAAACTCCACAATGAAATTTCATATCTGCTAAAAATTATCTTTTATCTTCATATCATTTTGTATGATGATCTATTGCATTTACTGCACATTTGTTTATCAACAGGAAAGTATAGAAGTTTTTTGTAACTTGAGTCTTGCATAAATGTTCTTTTTGTAAATTTGATTTCAATATATACTTCAGAATCTATTCATGTTTTAAAATAACTTAGTTTATTTTGAAAAATTATCTTGTATAATTTTGACAGTTGAAGTAAAATTTAGCTGTAGAGGCATACAAGTTGTATGTTTATACTGATATCTTTCAAAAATATTTTTGATGCATTTTATATTAAATTTCTATCTGGGTTCAATTAATCATATATAACTCATTCATCACATGATAAGATTTTGGTGCATTTATTGTGATGTCAATGGAAATGTTATATTTTATTATATTCAATTTTTTGATAAATATTTAACTCTTTCTTTTAAAACGATTTTAATCTATGATGTTATTTGATATTTTTATAAATGATAATTTCAATTGCAAATATGCTCATGGTCTCAATATTGCGTTTTTTTTTATTGTAACTTGAAAATGTTCCAATGACATGAACCCTGACTAATTTTATGATGTAGAAAAATGATAAAGAAGAAGAAGAAGAATGCAAATTTTTAAAAAATAGTTAATACATTTGTATTTAGCCATATTACAAGTACTACGGATACAAATGCATTATTATTTAATATCCATTTAACTCAATTTGTGAAGACATAGAGATAATAACTCGAAATTACTCACTGATTTTATCAAGACTTCACTGAATATTGCTAGATGTAAAAATACAATTAAAATTATTCACAGTATTTGAGTATTTAGTATTTGGTAGAAAGATACATAATTTAGTTAGTTTAGATCATGTAATTAATCACACAATACCATTGTGTGTTACTAATGTAATACATGTTTAAATTTTAATAATTATGATTATTTTTTTATATCATATTAATAAACTATATAAAATAAATTCCAGAATTCTACTAGAATGCTCTATTTTCTTCAACTACTAGAAAGCCAATATGACATCCTTTCACAACATAGTTTCACTACACCTAAAGTTCATTACACACAATTGCAGAATGGGAGGTAATAAACAATGCCTTTCACCACTTTCATTATCTCCACTCAATACTCTATCAATGCCAAATTATTAAATATCTTCACCAAAGAGAAAAAATAACAAAGAAAAAAGAAAAAATTCTAATTTCTACACTATAAAATTGCCTTCTTTCAAAAAAATATATTGAGTGTACATGGTCTCGTTTTATGAACCTCTCGATTTATTTTTTATTTTTTTATTTTATTTTTTAACTCTATTTTTTAATTTACAAATTTTTATCAAGGGGCATCATAATAAGAGAATGAATGAATAAAATTTTAATAAATAATAGACAAACCAATTGGAGATTGTGAAAATGGAAACCATTAAAAAATAATTTTTTTATTAGGATATATATATATATATATATATATATATAATTTTATGAAGAATATTAACAGATGGCATGAGCCTAAAAGTAACAAGCTCCATCTAGAGCTACTCTCTTTAGTTATCATTTTTTAAAATTTAATAAACAAACATCTTATGAAGAATAAATTAAAGGATAACAAACACAATTATGTGTTGCTATAAAAAAAATCAGTATAATTTCTCAATTATAAAAAAATAATAATAATTCTTTGATTAATTATTTAACCATTGGTCCACTTATCTTTTCTCAAAATACTATCTCAAATGTATTTTGTGCATGTCACCTTTTATAGACTGTCATTAAATTTCAATTAATCCTAATCCTAATCCTAATCCTAAATATATGTTTTACAAGCTCTATTAATGATGAAGTTAAAAAAAAGTAAAAAGGCGTTGCCAAAGTGGCATGTGTTGGACAAGCCCAGAGATATGCCAAACGAACATTGTGCCAACGAAGATGACAACATTGCATGTGCTATGTCAGACAAGCCATAACCTACAACGGACAAATGTCGTGATGACAATGAGATCAAAGCTGGGCAGTGTAGTGCTGTAGAAAATTCTTGTCTTGTTGCCAACAAATGTGGAAAAATCCTCTGATTATGTTTCTCCGATATGACAATAAGTGTAGATCCTGTCCAAATGAGTCCAAAGCATTGTGTTGAAAGCATTAAATGTAGCTGATGCTCTCTACATTATTTATTGTAGTCTACAGTAAATATTGCAACTACAGTGTTTGGAATATAATGGGGAGAAATTGTTTATCTTCTCCCCTTCTCTTTATATATGAAAGATAATCATATCAATATATTCACTCTTATGTGTGTTTTATATATGTGTTTTATATATGTATGCTTAGCTACTCTTGTCTTTCTCTCTAAAACATTTTCAACACTTTATCAATACGATTGCTCTTATATACTATTTTTGGTTCTTACAAACATATGTAGACTTTATCCTTTATTTTTTCCTCAATTTTTTTTCCTAACTTGTTGTTGCTGTTGTTGCTGCTATGCTGAGTTGCTGTTGCTGCTATTGTATTATTGTTGTTGCTGTGCTGTCTTGTTACTATGCTATTATATTGCTGTTATATTGCCACACACTACTGCCAAACTTCCGCACCTTGCCACTAGCTTCTACACCCTAGTGCCAACTACCACACCATACCACCGACTACCGCATCCTACCATCGATTGCCGTACCTTGCCACTGACTGCCGCGTCTTAAAGTTGACTTTTGTATCCCACCATCGACTGCTGCACCTAGTCATCGTATGCCGCATCTTGCCTTTGACTGCTGCATCTTGCCAATGACTATCGCACTCTACCATTGAACTATTGTACCTTATTGCAATCTACCACAAATTCTTGTTTTATTTTTATTTATATATATATATATACATATATATATCTCATTAAGTTTTTGACATTTTTGATTTCAAATTCAATTTTATCATTTTATTTGGTTTAACATTTCAAGGTGCATTTTATTCAACCTTTTCTACTTGATCTTATATTTTTGTTCACAAATTTATTTATAATTAGTGCTTCAACAGCTACTATATTTTCAACTATCGCCATTGCATCCAAATATTTTCAAGCTCTTTTATTTCCACCATTGGTTGCTTATTGAAATAATTATCTATTATGAATAAAAATAAAAATAAATAAATTTATTTGCAAAACAATTCTTAGATGCAATTCAATTTGAAGAATCTCCTATTGTAAGTACTTCAATTCCTCTTGCTATCTCTTGGAAAGCACTTCTTCTCTTTCATTGTCATCTTCTACTTGCATTGTAACATCAATATTTGGAAATTGAAGATCCAAATAAGCTTTGGAAGAATCTTAAATCCAAGTTTGATCATCAAAAGACCATTTTCTTTCTACGTATACATCATAATTAGATACATTTATAAATCATAAATTTTTCAAATTTAAATTCTTTTAATAGTGAAATGTATCTCATTGTCTCATAACTACAGTTATATAGACAAAACATCTTTGAAGAAGAAATGATTGAAAGAACTCTTTCTACATTTCCTCCCGCATCTACTCTGCCTATACAATAATATAGGAACATGAAATTTCAGAGTCATCATGGTCTCATGTCCTATTTAGTTCTTGTGGAGAAAAAAAATGAGCCACTCTGCTATCTATATAGAAAGAATAAATATTTTACAACTAATTACAATAGAAAACAAAAATCAAAGATGCGGTCTTGCTATAAATGTGGAATGATTGGACATTTAGCACATACATGTTGTACTTCAAAATACTTTATTCGAATATTCTAAAAAAAATAAGAAACGTTGAATTGAGACTTATGAATTTCATATCATGGATGTGTCCATGGATTCAATTGGTGTTGATGATTTAGAAGCTTATACAAATGATAAAACCTCTAATAATGACTCAAATGATGTGCTCATTGATTTTCTAAGAATACATACAATCCTATGGGATAGACAAATTTTTATTGAAAAATCTTCAACTTGGCAAACTAGAAATTTGATGACTATGGCTGGAACAAATACATTTCATTTCGAAGAAAGAACAGTGGTGGTAAAATTGCTTGTAGGCTCCATCATAAATATAAACATGCAATGTTTGCACGTTCAACACCTTGGAGTTTAATCAGCTACTAAGATATGCATGCCAATGATTATCACTTTTCAATTGCAACCTTAGATAGGCGAGAGATTTTGATTCTTGAACAAAACCATAAAGTTGTAGAAAAAATCTTTGTTGTGACAAATGATTTATATCAGATTGCAATCCAGCTTCCTATTATATTTAATTTTACATCATTCATCATAGAGAGTGGTATTTCTCTTTGGTATGGACAATTGGAATATTCAAGATCTATATTATTTCGAAAGATAACTCCATATATAAGTAGGCATAATTTAAGACTTGTAGATGTAGTTTCTATGAAATTATGTTGCATATGTGTATAAGGCAAGATAATTGTTCAGCCTTCAATTTGGAAACTCCCATTAGTGTTACCACCAATGCTTAAAAGGTTATATGGTGATATTTGTTGTCCTATTAATCCAATATCTAGTATATTTCATTATTTTATGGTCCTTGTTAATGCATCAAGCAAAAAATCACATTTTTCATTATTATCAATCCAAACATGGTATTTACCAATCTTATATCTATGCATATTCATTTTCAAGCATATTTTCCTAATTATCCTATTAAAATATTGTGTATGGATAATGAAAAAGAATTTACATCAAAGTCTTTTGAACACTATTGTACTGTAATAGAGATTGAGTTGATATATTGTATCCCATATGAACTTGCTCAAAATGGACTTATAGAGTTATTTTTAAATTGTATACAACTCATTATCTAGCCACTCCTTCTTCAAGTAAAGTTATCTGCATCTATATGGAGTCATGCAATTTTACATATTACATCATTAATATGCATCCGTGTTTTTTTTTTTTTTTTTTTTTTTTTTAATTATTATACTACAAGAGCCCATTTTAAGTTATATTTTAAATATATCTCATCTACGAGTGTTTGATTATTGAGCTTGAGTTTGAGTATCAGAATCTCAATGGCATACCATTGAAGCTCATTAATGATAGGGCATATACGTTGGTTTTGATTCATCAAGTATTATTTGTATAGTTGATCCATTAACTCTCACATTATTATGTACACATTTTTAAAATTGCCATTTTGAAGAGAACATATTTCCATCTCTTTGAAAAAGAATATTTAATCAATAAAGAAATACAATACTTGTATTTTGAGCACCAAAAATGTTTACAATAAATCCTGATCATAGAATATCTTTGGCTAAAATTGAAGTTGCTAAGATTTTGTATCTAAAACAGATCACAAATGAAACTTTTATTGGTTTCAACGATGTACTTTGGATTACAAGAGTTCTAATTAATGAGGCTCAAAATAAACTTATTCAAATTGTAATACCACTAATTAATATACTTTAGGTTAAAGTATCAAAAATTAAAAGAATTCGTGGACCAGATAAGCAATCACGAAAGAAGAAAGCTATAATATATGGTGATTCTAATATTATTTTTGTAGAAGTTCCTATTAAACCTATGGAATCATTAATTAATGATGCTATGTCTATGCAAATTATACCTTCATCTCATGTAATAAAAAATCTTAAAATTAAAAGGAATAAAATCAAATTGAGTATAAAATTATCTATTCTATATTGTGCTACAAACGACATATGGAATAGACCATCTATTATAATAGATGAATCATTTGCATTCATAATTGCAGATTTCTTTGTTACAAGAAAAAGGATCTCAAACCTCAAACCATCCAAGAAGTAATACATCACTCTAATTGATTTAAATAGAAAACTGCCAATAAGTATTAGTATATTTTTTTACATAAGAGGAAAGTCTTTGGTCCAATTATGAACACTCATACTTCTTGCCCTATGAAATATAAATGGTATTAATACACAAGCAAGATATTATGGGTCAAATAATCCACTTAAAAACTTGTCTTGTTGCCTAAAGATTTATCCAATGATTTGGCATTGATTATGAATCCACATACTCTCCAATCATAGATTCAATTATATTATAATATATTATTAGAATGGCAATACATGCCACCCTTGACATGCATCTCATAGATGTAGTAATTGCATATTTGTATGGTACTCTTGATGAAGATATTTATATGAAAGTTCCACCTAATTTGAAAACATGAACTCCAAATGCACCTACTTTAAGATGATATCGTGGTATTAAATTACACAAGGTCCTATATGGTCTAAAAAAATCTTAATACATATAATATCAATATCTCTGAGATTATTTAATTATAAATAAGTTTATAAATAATCTACTAATTCCTTGTTTGTTTATCAAACAAGATAAAATTTGTTTTGTTATCATTGCTATATATGTTGATGATCTTAACCTAGTGGATATTAGATCTACATGTATTGCACCTATTAACCTACTTATTCGTGAGTTTGAGATAAAAATACTAAAAAAAATAACTTTCTATATTGGTCTTTAGATTATGCATCTCACAAATGATAGCATTTTTCTCTATCAACTAACGTATATTAGACAAATCTTACAAAGATTCAATATGATTGTTGCTTATTCATTGTCAATACCAATGGTTGAGCATAGACGTGATGGTCATGATCCATACTATTCGTGCAAGGACGAAGAAGAAATATTGGGAGAACAATATCCGTACCTTGCAATGATTAGTTCACTATTATATTTAGCCACATCTACAAGATCAAATATCACATTTGCAATTAGTATTCTTATAAGACAGAGTGCATATCCAACATTAATACATTAGAATGGCATCAAATATTTATTATATGTCATTTAAAAAGCATTGAAGATTTGAGATTATACTACAAACAATCTACAAGTCCAAAATTGATTGTATATTGTGATGAGGGATATAAATCTAATATTGCAACAAATAAATTTCAAATAGACTATGTATTCTTAAGACATAGAGCCGCAATATCATGGAAATCAGTGAATCAAATTGTAACTGCAACTTCATCCAACCATGCAAAAATTATTGCCTTACATGAAGCATCTTGGGAATGTATTTGGTTGTGAACAATTGATAAATTCATTCAAATAACTTGTAGACTTTCATATGATGATTCTCCAACTATCTTATATGAAGATGATAGCACTTATGTTAGATAGATGAATGTTGGTTTCATTAAAGGCAATAGGACAAAGCATATTAATCCAAAGTATTTTAGTTATATCCATGAGTTAATTACTAATCAAGTATTTAAGATCAAGAAAATTAAATTTGCAAATAACCATAGTGATGTCTTCACCAAAGCTCTTCCTTTGTGTAACCATCGCCAACTTACTTATAGCATTGGCATGCAATGACTTACTTTTCTTGAACAAGAAAGTTAATGAACTCTTGAAATGATGTTGTACTCTTTTTCCTTCATTTATGATTTTGCCCTTAAATACAATAAGATTTTTCTAGATAAGGTTTTAATAAAGCAACAACTAATGATCTTGCAAGCTTATAGAAAAGTACAAATCATAATTCTATGTTAATAAATATTATGACTAGTAAGAAGGAGTATTGAGAGCATTAAATGTAGCCAATGCTCTCCATACTATTTATTATAGACTATAGTAAATATTGTAGCTACAATGTTTGGAATATAGTGGGTAAAAACTATTTATGTTCTCTTTGTATATGAGAGATAACCATATGAATATACTCACTCTTGTGTGTGAAAACTTCGAATTTACCTCGCCAACCTGGACACTGGCAGCGAATGCCGAACTAGTGAGAGGAATAGCAAGCGGATTAGAAGCAGCAGCGCGAGTTGGTGAGGGATGGGAAGTAGGGGAGCCCGCTGAACTACTCTCGTGGTACTATTAGATTTGTGTGACGTTGGCTCTATATGTCTCGCTGTCTACCTACGATGGCTTCTCAAGGATGGTATCCTCCTGTGGGTGATTCTGCATGCTGGCTTTTCACTAAATGGGGCCCTTGCCAAGTGGCGGTCACATAGCAAAGGCTTGCGCGGCTCCGGGCCAAGTCATAGTCCACTGTGAGGATCACATCACACTTGGACGAGAGTGTTGTTGGATTACGACAACGACGTGGTGTTTCGTGTTGGCAGTCATTTCAGTCCGAATTGTAGACTTGAACGGTTTTGAGCTTTGATGACCATCAGGTGTTAGTCTCGTGTTGATTGTGAATTCCGTCTGGCTGTAGGAATTGAATGAACTCTCGCGACGAGAAACATTTCTGTGTGTTCCGGCGACAGCGGACGGGTAGTTTTTGGAATTTCGAATCAATTCTTCTCCTCACTTGTGTCCAATATTGTTGAGTTTCCTTGAATATGTTGTGTTTCCCTGATGCACTTGGGTTGAGATTGTTCTGAGAGCGTGATGGCGTTGAAATTATTGGTTCAGAATTTGATGTTCTGCTTCAGCTTCTGCTCCGTTCTACGCCTCACTACTAGATAACCATGTACCGTAAGAAGTACCTTAAATGATCTCTCCTTTCAAAATGGAACAATACTTTAGGGAATTTACGACATAAGTTTGGTTGAACTCCGATTGGTGTCTTGCTAGCTTACTGGTCGATCCCGCTTCGTTCAGCCTGCTAGGCAATCTGTCGATGTCCTGAAGGATATCGCGAAGAGGGTCTGTCAGAATGGCGCTCCCTCCGTATGCATACATACTGATCGTTTTTTTCGGGCTCGTGATTCTTGGAACTATTGCGCTCTGCCTGCTCGGATGCCTGGGCGTGCGATGGTGCTGTAAGCTCACCAACAAGCTGGACAACAAACGTCAGCCCTACGCTGTGCCACCAGGGTTTTCTCTCCAGCCACTGCACAACATCAGAGTGGATCCTCCGATACCGCCTGAGCAGACTGCTGGGGTTGCAGCGGAGAATGCTTTCTTGGATGCTCTGCCCGGCCTCCCCCATAGGTAATTCAATTAATCACTTCTCCACTGAAACCCTGTCCGTCTTGAATCCAGCAATGAATTCTGCTAGAGTTGGTTACTGGAATATTCCTTCTTCTCTTACTGCATGAATTCTTCTGTCGTTCAACAGATACTCTTACCGTGACTTGGAGACGGCAACGAAGGGGTTCAAAATAATCCTCGGAGAAGGTGGTTCAGGTGAAGTTTATTACGGTGAGTTTCCTGGTGAAACCGAAGTGGCAGTGAAGAGGCTGCAGAGCGCCATCCAGGGGGACAAGGAATTTCGAACTGAAGTTGCCACCATTGGCAACATCCACCACATCAATCTCGTGCGATTACGGGGCTTTTGCCTCGAAGGAATCCACAGGCTGCTCGTCTACGAGTATATGGTACGTGATGCAAGTTTCTCCATTTTCTCAGCATCAGGGGTTGTCATTGAGTTTCTCACGATATGTTGAGTGCTTCTCGGGCCCCACTTGCTGGCCATGTTCTGAATCAGTGCGAACGTTATGCACAACGTTGATGGAACAGAAAAATGGCTCCCTGGATCAGTGGTTATTTCGTAACGACTCCAAGAGATTCCTGGACTGGCCGACGCGATTCAACATTGCACTGGGAACAGCGAAAGGACTAGCTTACCTTCATCACGATTGCCAGGAGAGGATCGTGCACTTGGACATTAAGCCTCAGAACATTTTGTTGGACGATATGTTCAACGCTAAGGTGTCTGATTTTGGCCTAGCGAAGCTGATGAGCAGAACGGATACTAGCCAGGTACTCCTTAAAGCTCTTTGAGACGCTTCTGCAGGTCCTTGTGCTTCTGTATTGTTCCAACTGCTGTTGTCTAAAGCGTATCAAATTCTCGCTGAAAATTCCCGGGGTTTGTCAAGGTCGTGACACAAATGCGAGGGACTCCAGGGTATCTAGCACCGGAATGGCTACTTTTCTCCGCGGTGACGGACAAGAGCGACGTATACAGCTATGGAATGGTGCTTCTCGAGATTCTCAGCGGCCGCAAGAACGTCAGCCCTGAAGAAAGCGAGGTGGAGAAGCAGTACTTTCCTCGATGGGCCTGCAGGAAAATAGAAGAAGGCGGCAGCATTGACGAGATTGTCGATGCACAACTCGGCTCGTTAGGTGAGCTTGATTTGCAGCAAGCAGATCGAGTTCTTCGTGTCGCCATGGTCTGCATTCAGGTATGATCTATTCACCTCAACACGCTCGAATTCTCTAACCATCCCTTGGCAATCAGCTTAGCTTCAAAGTACATCGACCCACATCTAGAAAATAAAGAAACTTGCCCGCAATTTTGTGCGCGCAGGAGGACATGCTAGCAAGGCCATCGATGCCCATGGTGGTGCAAATGCTGGAAGGGCTGATCCAAATCCCCCTGCCACCTCCTCTACCGATGAAATTCGCTCTCAACACGCAGTTTGCTCGGATACTGGATCTCAATACGCAGTCTGCACTGAACTTCTCCAGCATCCATATTTTGTCAGACCCCAGTTCGGCAGCACCCTCAACACAGTTCGCTGATCCAAGATAACCTCTACCAGCGTGCACCAGTGTGCACCCACAGCGACCTCTGCACTGCAAACACAACGAACCTGCTCATCTAAGCATTTCGCAGCAACGAAGTGCTTGGGAGCTCCACTTTGATTCACGAGGTGTGGTTCTCAACACCATGCTTGACCCGATTGTCGTTTCCAAGGAATCGAACATTTTGCAAAATCTGACATCTCGACTCCGCAACATCTCCACCAACATGGTCGCTAAGTCAGGGATTTTGTGGTCTTTCATCGCCTTGCCAAATATCTACTTCTGAACATGTCTGCACAGGCATTTTGAGGGAGATCTCTGTGTGCCCACCATTTTGTCTTCATTTTGAAGTAATTACTCAATCTGATGAACCATGTTGTGCAAAATTCGTCAACAATTCCACATGCATGGGAATGCGAAGTCGGCCTGTGAAGAGTTGAAATGCACTAAACAGCGGTGGATGTTTTAGTTGGAATATGAGACCAAGGAATGCATATTCTTAGAGGATGATTACTCTTCAACTAGAATCTGGAGAGGGTTACTCTCCAAAGCATTCAAAGGAGGGTGTAGCTTTTCCCCCCTTGATATGGAAGTTGTATTCTCTGATAATTGCTTTGTGGAAACACATGCTGAATTTTGGCATTCTTTGAGAATAATTTCCACATTATTTTCTTGCTTCCCCTAGTGACAACATGCTTGTTCAACGTGTGCAATGTTGTCGATGTTATGGACATGGAATGTTAACGGTTTGTGTTGTTGTATTTATGACATCAAATATCGTATTGTAGTTTTTTCTAGTATTGTTCATTATCACAACATGTTCTTGCAATTCTTTTTCAAGAGCAGGGAACTCTTATTATTTATAAAAATTCATGAATTGTAAGAAATCTAGAAAAATAACGAAATGAACAAAAACAGATCTGGTTATTGTAGCAAATAAAATTTTCAATTTTTTTTAACGTCATAAAGATGTGACTAATTACATGATTATATAATGCTTGGTTTCTGTTAAGAAATGTATTTTAATTTAATTATTTATCTTTAAATGTATTATTCAAAATTTAGTTAAAAATAATATGTTTTTTAAATATTATTTTTATAATATTTTTGTTGTTGTAGTTGCAAATCGAACCAATTCAGATTTAAATTTTTACAAAATTTGTGTATATTTTGGCGTGTGCAATTGCAATCAAATTAAATGTGTATGTTGTTTTATAAAATACTATTGTTTTTTTAAAACAAACTTATACTTTAGAAATATGGTATTTTATTTTATTGAGTGTGATTGATTGAAAATGCTTCTAAAATGTCTATTTAAAAAGAGTATGTATAAAAAATTAGTATAATTAAAAGTGTTCTAATCAAAAACATGAAATATGTAATATAAAATAGACACTTAAAAATGTAGAAGAATTAAAAGCATATATCTTTAAGTTGGTTTTGTATTTATATTATGAATATTATTTTTTAATTATAGTTATAAAGTGTGTGCTTTAAAGCCTTGTTTATTAAAAAAATAAAAAATAAAAAATAAATTAGAGATTAAATACATAGGTTTTTATAATTGGACAAGTAAAGATAAAATTATATAAACAACTTAAGTAGCCAAAGCTACTCAAGTATTCTTGATTTTGAATTTTATTATTTATTTATTTATTTATTATAAGTGATAGTATTTATCTAAATAGAAAATATATAAATTTATTTATTATAAGTGATAGTGTTTTTTTAATCTAAAAATGATTAAGATTAACAAACACCATCTTTCTAAGGTGTTTTAAGGAAGTTATTTTGTAGTGGCATATTAAAAAAAACTCAATTACCTAATTTGTTTATGACATACCAAACACAATTATTATCTTTGATTACTTTAAATTTATTATTAGGTTGTACTATTGGTTAAAAAAAAGAGTTGCAAACATCTTAAATTGTCGGTTGGCTAAGGTCTATTTTTATAAGGATTAACATGATGGAAGAATTCAAAATAATAGAAGTAGATTATGTATAATAAACAATGGATTTGCAACAAAAAAGACATTTTAGTATATAACATCTCAACACACATTAGTATCAAATTCAATCTAAATAAAATATCTCTAAATTTTTTTAAAATAAATTAGAATTTATTTACTAATATTCTTAAATAATAAATTACTAAAATTTTCTAAAATAACTTTTGAGTTCAACTACATCCTATTTTTGATTTTTTATCCAAAGAATAATAGATGTCATATAATATATGTTCTATAATACCATTGGTATTATGAAAAAAATTATTAAAAAAAAATCAAAACTTCAACTTTTAACTTTTTATTAGCAATTTGTTATTTTGAGATTTTTTTCAAATTTTAAAAATGTAATAGCTTAGTTTGTTTGTTGATTGTTCTTGTCATAGACACAGAAATATAGACTCGAGATCTAACAAGAAGTTCAAGAAGAACTGGCAAGAACTAGATTAATCAGATGAATACAAGAACAACACCAAAGAGGTGAGCTAGAGCTCCAAGAGATGTGTTGTCGAGACTGAAGAACTCTTCAGCCTCGATTCCAATATATACTTCTATTTAGGAAGCTTCTCAAGCAACTTCTACCAACTAGGAAGCTTCTAGAAGGTTCCAGAGACTTGCTTCTAGAAGGTTCTAGAAACTTGTCTCTAGAAGGTTCTAAGGATTATGTCCCTAACATCACCCCCTCCTTTAGCTTCGAGGTCTCTGAGAAGTAATGTTGTTGATCAGTAACAACGCAAGAAAATGAAGATCTGTCGCATAACGTCTGCTATGAACTCCAACTGTTGTTCACGAGGCAAGTGGTTCATCAGCCCTTGAAGCCAACGGTAGTGACCCACTCCTTTAACTTCTGACCAAGCATGAACTTCCGTGTCCTCATTATGAAATTGTCCTGCAAACACGCCTTCTGGCTGACCATCGTAAGCAGGCTCGGACTCAAATACAATTACTAGTGATCGGTTACTCAGTATCCTCCATCGTCATCGTGGTGTAGGCGGTTCTTCATCTCGGGGTCGCCTTCGTGAACTAGTAGGTTGAGATAATCTGACTGACATAGTATCTATCTCTTGGCTATCCATATCAGAAGACCAAACTATGGCTACTGAAAAAATTCTATTTTATCTTGGAAAAAATAACTACATCAACTACGAATTTTGGTGGTACTCTCCCCCTTTCTTATATTCTTGGGTGAGCAAGCTTCAGAAGGAAGCTATCGTCGAACCGGCTTAGGTTTATGAGGATGTTGTTGATGAAACTCCTGTACCTTTTGCGGCACATTGGCGAGATTTTCAGCTGGCGCCCACGTTCGCTCATTAATATCGTAGTTGCACCAATGAACAAGATACTCCAACTTGCTACACCTTCATCGTGAATCTAGTACCTTTCCAACCTCGTATTCCTCATGGTTCTCGATCTCAATACTAGGTGGGGGACATTATACTCTTCCAAGAAAAGACGACTCTCGATAAGGCTCTAACAGAGAAACATAAAAGACTGGATGTACCTTCATAGAAACCGATAATTCCAGACGATATGCCACTGGATTGATTTGCTTCTAGATGATAAATGGTCCCAATCTTCGATAGTCCAACTTATCACATGGTCGCTTAGTCTTGATATTCCATCAAAGAAGCCATGCTTTATCTCCAATTTTGAAAGTAGGTGCTTGATTTCGAAATCTATCTGCAGACGCCTTATAAGATTCTTGAGCGGATTGTAATTGAAGCTTCAACGTATTTTGAAGCTCTGATAGTTGTTTCGTAAATCCTTCAGCTGCTAGATTGTTATTTGTTGACGGACTCAATAAATCAAGCTTCGGATGATATCCATAGTTGGAAAAGAATGGTGTGTATTGAGTTGACGCATGAAGGGTGTTATTATATGCAAACTCGGCTAGCGACAGATATGTGGTCCAATCGTCTTGCTGATAGTTGATGCTGCATCGTAAGTATTGTTCCAAGACTTGGTTCACCCGTTCTGTTTGGCTGTCAGTTTGAGGATGAAAAACCGAAGAAAGCTTGATATCCACCTTCAGTATCTCAAAGAGAGATCTTCAAAACTTTGATACGAACTGGGTTCCTCGATCTGATATGATATCATCTGGTAGTCCATGATATCGATACACATTATCGAGAAAGAGCCTTGTTATGACTTCACTGGACAATGTCTTCTTGCAAGGAACAAAGTGCGCCAACTTTGTAAGTCGATCTACCATGACAAAGATGCTGTCAAATGAGTTCGATGATGGAAGGTTCGTGATGAAGTCCATGGAAACTGAAGACCATGGTCAACGTGGAATCGACAATGGTTGTAAGAATCCATAAAGGCGATGCCGAGGATTCTTGGATCTTGAACAGATGTCGCAGGAGATGACAAAATCTTTCACATCCTTCCACATTTGGAGCCACCAAAAATCTCGAGAAATAAGCTCCAAGGTCTTGTTGAATCCAAAATATCCCGCAGTTGGAAAATTGTGGCGAGATTGAAGAACTCGGAGTCGTGCTGGTCCTTTTGGGATATACAATCGCTCCTCAAAGTATAAAAGATCTCCCTCCACCTTGAATTTGTCGTCATTGGTATGCTGCTTGATATCAATGGCTATTGAATCTTTAATGGTCGCGGCTCGTACTTGATTCAAGAAGTCAGCATCAATTGGTACAATAGTAGCGTGAAGGCGAAATTGCTCTGGCTTCAACAACGTCGTACATTGTTGATCAAACGCTGCTTCTTTAGCCTTTGGTATAAGATACGATCTCCTCAATAAGGCATCAGATAGTCCTTGCTACTTTCTAGGTCGATAAATGATAACAAAATTGAACCTAGATAGTAACATACTCCACCGAGCTTGACGTCAATTTAGAACTCGAGCCGACATGAAATACTCCAAATTCTTGTGATCTATGTATACGGTCACTAGGTGTGCAGCTCTTTCAAGAAATTGACGCCATCTTTGGAAAGAATCCACTATAGCAAGAAGATCCTTATCGTGGATCTCATAATTGATTTCATCAGCAGAGAACTTTCGAAAATAGAATGCAACTGGATGGAGCTTCTTGTCTTCTCCCATTTGTAAAAGTACAGCTCCCAAATCCAAAGCATCAGTTTCTAAATAAAAGGCCTTTGGAAAGTCTGGATGTACCAAGATTGGAGCCATAGTAAATGCAATTTTTAGATCTTGAAACTCCTTCTCCACTAGAGGTCCCCATTCCAGCTTATCCTTGCATGTCAACCGAGTGAGAGGAGCAACAATTTGAGAGTAATTCTTAATGAAGATCAGATAGAAGTTGGCAAAGCCAAGAAAGCATTGTACGTCTCTCACCGTCTTCGGAACCTCCCAGGACACGATTGCTTCCACCTTCTTGGGGTCCATCTTTAAGCCTTCCGTAGTCCCAACGAACTCCAAAAACTCCATCTCTATTTGGTGAAATAAACACTTCTCCAACTTGGCATATAGTCCTCACTCGCGTAGTTTCTCCAAGACCAAACCAATGAGCTTTTCATGTTCTTCCTCATTTTTGGAGAATATCAGAATATCATCCAAATAGATGACAACAAAATCGTCAAGGTACTCTCAGAAAATGTCATTCATCATATGTTAAAAGATCGCTGGAGCATTGGTAAGACCAAAAGGCATGACATTATACTCAAAATGGCCATACCTTGTACGAAACG